ATCCTCTGATGTGACCATTTAAACAAATCCCTTTCAGTAGAACATTTCATGATACCATTTTTTCCTCAACTTTTTTCATGTTATGGATTAATGTGATTTTTCTGAAATACAAATTTAAATTCTTACCTTTCTTCGAACCAAACCTTGCTTTCTCCAGTTCCCAGTCCGTTGCAACAGTATGCATAGAACTTCGTCTTTTACTCTCAAATTTGTCCACTTCCCATGGGGGGACATAGGCGGGCGTGGCCCAAGTTCCTCGACCGGCAATACCCTTAGGCCTTAGCATTGAAGCACCACCTATATTTTTCTTATCCAGAGCAGTTCTAGAATTCTTTGTCATGCTGCGCCGTGGAGGGTGATCGTTAAAGTTTTTAAATTCCTCTTCTTCCGAGTCAGATTCTAATCCCCAGAATTTATCTCTCTCTTTCGTGATCCTATGACACTCTTCACAACGGCTGCCCGATTCCCCCTGAGTCGTTTCCTCCTTTGGAACCGAGTCCTTTATCTTTTGAATCGTGCCCTTGATTTCTCCATAGCGTACATCTTTGGCCTTTTGTAAACACTTCCTACTGTTTTGAATGGTTAAATCCGCCGAAGCAATAAGACCTGAGCTGAGCTTTGATCTTCTCCTAGCAGCCCGCAAACGTGTTTTCCGCTCGCTAAGAAAACTTTGAAGATTATTAATTCTGTTAAAAAGAAGTTGATCAGTTGAGTTTGAGTCGTAAATATTACCCCCATCTTCGGGAATGTCTTCCATGTTTTCGACCTCATTTTCCTCACCCATGCCTGCTCGAACTGGATTGGGCGCGCCCAAATCAAACCTTACTTTGTACATGTGTCGTGGAGGTCTAGAACGTAACCAAAAGCTTGATTTGCCGAGAATTTCTTTTCTTTTAGCGCTTATTCTACTGTATATTTCGTCATCATCTGTAGGTAAAACAAAAGAAGACAATTAACTTCTAGTTCTATTAGGATGGTGGTGATGGTCACCGTTTTGTTTTAATGGTGCTGCGTTCTTTGTAGCAGCAACCCTTGGGGTAGAAACAAGATAATCATGATCCCTTGAGCATTCTTCAAATATCATGGTCCGCTTAACCCAAATTACATCATTACTGTGTGCAGCCGACCAGTTAAAGCAATCTGTGCACTGTCCTTGAGAAGAAAGTAAGAGCAATTAAATCTAGAGTTCTGCTATTTTTCTTGCTCAAAGACGGCGAAGAATTGAAAAAAAAACAGCCATAGTAAAATAAGAGAGCATTTTTGTCGTTCCCTGCCTTTCATCGAAGATTAGAAAGTGTTTTGGGGCAAACTTTACCGAGACACGGCAGATGAACAACTCCAAGGACCAGTCCCTGTGATCATGTACTTGTGCCCGACAGAGGCCTATCTGGCAAGTAGCTGGCCCTCAATGTGGGGCTTCAGGCCCTAATTTGTCACCGTGGAAATCTCAGATAATAATGATAAAAATAATCATGATGATGATGATGATGACTATGACGATGACGATGACGATGATGATGATGATAACGCTGATGATGACGATGATGATGACGATGATGATGACGATAATGATGAGGATGATGATGATGACGATGATGATAATGATGATGATGATGATGATGACGATGACAATTGCTATGATGATGACGATGACGATGATGACGATGATGATGACGATGATGATGACAATGATGATGACGATGATAATGGCGATGATGATGATGATGATGATGATGACAACGATAAAAAAGATACCCTGGTATTGGGTTGTAGGAGTTCTCGTTTTTTTCGAGAGTTGAATTATTATCATACAGTGAACAAGAAAGATAAGATGCTTGCAGTTAGTAGTATCGCTCTGTAAATAACAAACGGCGGTTTCTTCAGTGCAACCGATCTAAAACAAATTTCCTCTCACCTCCATCGTACAAATAGTTTTTTGGAAGGCCCAGCGTATTCTCCAACTCCCATCTTTTCTCTATCACATCCATCCTCCACTTCAAATCCTTCACCTGATCAAACAGATCATCTATAGCCATTGCTTTCACATGGCTCTTCAGGTCTTTCAAAACCGATTCAATTTCTTTGACCTCGGTTCTTCCTAACGGTCTGGTGATGTTGTGTTGGTTTAAAATTTGCCGAATGTCCTCCAAAGCTTCCAGTATTAGAAGATTGTCCTCCTCCTCGGCGCCATCTTGGAAATTCTTGTAAAGATCCAAGATCGATTCTAATTTCAAGAAAAGTTGTTCTTTTTCTGTTTTTCGAGACACTGTCGATGTCATTTTTAGTTTTTTATAACAACGCGTTTTGTTGTTTCCTTATCGATAAGGTATAGTGTATGTAACCTAGAAACTATTGTATACGTCATAATCGATCCTAAATTGACTAAATTCGAACAGTTTGGGCGCGCGCAATCATATTAACATTCTTTGTCAACAACTCAGCTGATCTTTCGGGGCCTTCTCGCTAAAGATTTATGGCAAAATTTTTGTTTCCACTAATATCTTGACAAAATTTACCATTACCGAAAACAGCTATTTTCACGACCTTAGCACGACGATTTAAGCGTAGAATTGAGTAAATATCTTTCCGCTCAACCCCATAGTCACTTTTTACAAAAATGAGCATTTTCCCGCAAATCTGTGACTTAAAAAGAAAAAACTGTCAATGAATGTCTGAGGTAGGGCAATGGAGAATTTAAAGATTTGAAAGCTTAAAAACATTTGGCAGGAATTTTAAAGACGTCCTCAATCATTAAACCATTTAAGGTAGACAGACTACAAATTATATTAGTTGTTAAAAATATATATATATACGTGTCGCAACTGTTCACCAGTAGGATGCCTAAAATGCGTGCAATTCCACAAAATTTGGAAAGTGGACTGATAAAACCTAGTGCGGAATGGACCATGCATGAATCTTACGACACGCGGCTAATTACATCAGAAGAAAGAATACTCATTTCTGGTCGTTTGAAGCAAATAAGGGAGATTACGTAGCAACGAAGGCGACGGTTACATGAAGGTCACTTTTTGAAATGCTGCTTCAAACTTTAACGCGCTTATTCCATCTCGTTCACTTCGTGAACTGTTGGCAATTTTTTCTGGAGTTGAACTCTTAAAGACTTAGCCTGCAAGCAAGCTCCCCTGTTTGGGCGAGCAACGCGAGCCTTGCGAGAACGCGCGAGCCTCTGCGTGAGCCTCTGCCCCTCGCGGCTTCGCCGCTCGCTCTCGCGTTCTCGCGAGACTCGCTTCGCTCGCCCAAATAGGAGAGTTTGCTCGCAGGCTATAAAAGACTGTATCGAATTCCAGGAAAAGAAAAAAGAAAGTCGATCGTTGTCCTAGCCTGTGTTCACATCCTCCACAAAACGTGAAATAAGGGGCTGACCATTTAACTTTTGAGGGGGGGGGTATAGGTGATTTCAGAAAAAAAATATCCTACAGACTGAATTCGAGGGGAAAAAATTCTTGCAAGGAAATATACCGAGCGAAAAAAAAATTTCCTACACTGAAAAAATATATCTTTAATGGTGAACAATGTTGGGAAAAAAAATCTTATATGTCAGGGAAAAAAAATTCTATCACCAGATTACTCGTGTAATTCTATCACACAATCCAAATCACCCACCCCCCCCCCCTCCCTCAAAAGTCAAATGGTCGACCTCTTAAACATTTTTATGTCGTAGTCGTGCAGTGACAGCAAAGAAATGTGTAAAGGCGTGATGCACGCGCAGACAGTTATTGTTTTGCCAATCGAAGCCCGTGAAAACGGACGCAACATTGCTGGCCAACAATTCCCAATATTTTGGGGAGCTGTTGCGTCCGTTTGCACGCTAAAATTTTGACCGGTTTCAAACTTTGAGCAACGACTCCCAAGAACATGCAACAGAGTGTGGAAAAGGACGCGACATTTAACATCCAACAATGTTGGGGAGTTTAGCCAACGATATTGCGCCCATTTGCAGGAAGCTTAAACCTATCGCTTTTTTGTCGTTCCTCGCCGACGTCGCTGTCATCGTTGCGTAAGCTCCCCAATCTTATTCAAGAGATACTATATCCATGTTCGTCACACAGTCAGTTCTATGCCGCCATGTAATGTGTCCGCTGGCTTTTTACAGTGTAAAAGGACCATTTTGTTTTCAGTCTCCCGCAAAGGAATCATTTATTTGGAAGGTGGGTTTGCCTAGGCTTCTCATACTAACTTATGTTTTATTTGTAACGTTTGTTGAATCGAACGATGTAAGCACGTGTTTTCGGGCCACAGGCTCACCAGAGCACTTAAACTGCTGGGCTGTCAGTAACCACAGGTAACCCAAACTTTGATAAGAGGTTTCGAAAGAGTTTGAGGATGCAAAAAATTCATGTACACAAACAAAGTTTGTATAACTTCCCTGTTTGTATGCAAATCAGATTCACTTGTTTTACTTTCTGCTTTTAGCTGCTTTTCTGTCATGTTTCAGTACGAGTTAAGTGACTCTTATTAGCGGTTTAAATTTTACATTGTCGAAAACAGATCTCTTGCGCTTTGCAACAGATATCAACTAAAGGATGAATTAGATATCAAAACAAGTGCTATATATTTTGAATCGAAACGGAAAATGTAATCAGTGTTTCATTTTAAACATCGTAGCCTTTTAGTCTTGTACTCGTTAATGACACTGGACTAACAAGTCTAAGAGCGCTCGCATTCCACAAATATTAATTCCAGTAGGGGTCTCCCTTATCTTTAAACATGCTTTTAATTGTGTATTGACCAGAGTTTCCGAGCTCAAATAGATGTCGTTGGCTTTTACTTGATAACAACGTTTTTAAAAGCCTTTTTTCTTAAAGTTACAACACTTTTACGAGACAAAACAGTGAGGTTAACTTTTTTTTGCGATATGTTATTTGTAGTACTGAAAGCGACGAAACAGAACTTTTCCAAACGCAACCTTAAATTAAAATTTAATTTCCGTCACGCTATATGATCGAATAGCAGAGACTTTTTAAAATTCATCTATCTGAAGAGAAAACTCGTATTTCTGTTTATTAAACTTGTGCGTTTCTTATGGTGTCAGCAAATTACTTTGTGAAAGAGCCACAGTAGAAAAACAGTTTGTTATAATTGATACAGATTTCTCTCCCGGTGTGATTCCTTTATCAGGAACCATGATATAATTGCACCATGTGTTCAGATATGAGAGATTCCTTTCATTTTGCAAATCTAATAATTGAACCGTAATAGGGTTTTCATTGGTCAGCTGTGTTATAAATGACAACATTTCCACAAGCGTCAAAACAAGATCATCGGAGTGAATTAGAACACAGTGGCCGGGTTTATAAACTGTTGAAAGTTACTGCTGTATCATTTCGGTCGAACTCTTTGAGCCCAAGAATCGCGAAGTGGAGCGTTTGACTTAAGTCTCGTAGGGTGATTTAAGAATCAAAGACAATGGCGAAAATTGACGAAGAAATGATGACCGAAATGAAAGATGCCTACACCCTGTTTGATCGTGTGGGAGATGGCAAAATCGACGGGGACCAGATTCCAGATTTACTTCGTTCGATGGGGTTGAACCCAGTGGGCGCTGATCTGAAACCAGTGACAGACGAGCATCAGGGCAAAAGAGTCGAGTTCGAACGGTTCCTGGGAATCTACAATCAGTTCCGCAATAAGCCAGAACCCGTCAGAGAAGATTTTATTGAGGGGTTCAAGTGTTACGATCGGGACGGTTCAGGTACCATAGATGGAGCTTCCCTGAGAGGAATGCTCTGTTTCCGAGGAGACAGCAAGCTCACTGAAGAGGAAGCCAACGCCCTCCTCGCCCCGGTCGAAGATCCCAAGAATAGTATTATCAATTACGAGGAACTGATCAAGTTGGTCATGTCGAAGCCGCAGAAGCCTGAATGAGTATGGATCTTTGAATATTCTTTTAGCGAGCATTTTTTTTTTTTTCAGTGAAGAACTTGACAGACATGTCATTTAATTAAGTTTCCTTAGCCTCGTTATATTGCCTTTTTTGTAAAATTAATCTGTGTTAATTGAATTCTCTACAAGAAAAGAATTTTAATTGATACTGTAAAATGCAGACCGATTTGTGCATTCAATTGTTAATTTCTTTACCTCATCGAACAAGTTAGTTATTTTTGATAGCCTCATCTGTTTGTGAAAAGGGATCTCGTCTTAAGTTTTCTCGATTGATTTTCAGGTGCACTAGCAAGATTCATAGCTCGCCATTTATTAAGTGTTCTTTGTCACATAATGAAATTAAATCAATTTTTTTAGCTGAAAATTATTTCGAGTCCTTTATATTTCTGGCTGTCGCCTTCTGAGTTTGTTTGGAGAGTGTGACAAGACTGCCCGTCGCTGTATTAATTTTCTGTTTGCAAAATGAAGAAAATAACGAGGATGCTAGGAAGAGTAATGATGAGCTTCGATTTGAGAGCGTTTTAAAAAGGAATTTTATCGAGGCGAAGCTAAGTTCGAAATAACAGGAACAGATTATGATGATAGACTTTGCTCGCGGATGCGGTAAAACTATTACTTTATGGTTATCAGTGCCGCTTCGATGACCTCTTCAACTTGTTAGGTACTAGCACAATAAACTTTTTATCTCTCACGTGCGCGTTCGATAATGTATAATTAGTCCCGGGAATTAGTGAACTATGATTTCAGTGATGTGTCTTTGTTTTTGTGCCGGTTTTATCATCTGAGATACCCAGACGTGAGCTATGTGCCGGCTGTTTTCTCAAGCTTTAACTCAATTCAACTTGTAAATTTTCTAACAAGTCAAGCCACGTCAAGTTCCTAGTCACTACAGAGTTAAACATCTTTCGTAGTTGAGGAGCTCGGAGTTGCCCCAAAACAAGCGTACTCGTGAAAATGAAGCAGTCGCAAAAGGCCGCAAGCCATGACGGCCGGATTGCTTATCTCCAAATTGAAAGAAAACATTGACTCGATTTGGGCATTTACAGCGTGGTGAGCCATGTGATTTTCTCCCTTTCTTCTCTATATACAAAAGCAGAAGCAGTAGCATGCAGTGTAACATTGACGTCCGCCAAAAATGGCAACCGGAAGTTGATATTTTCTCTCTCTCAGTGTTTTGACTTGAAAATCCATTGAGCGGTAGTTAAAACAATGGCATTGATTCAGATTCGTTGTTTGAGACAGAAGCGTTCCACCAAGCGAGAAACCGAACCTCCGGTTGTTATTAATGACTTCCGGTACGTCAGCGTTCTCGTTGCTCAAGCTCGTGCCAAGACAAACCTAAAGCAAGGGGCACACATATACCAACCTCAGGCCTGGCCAGTACCTCATGCATGCGCACAGCCCTATATCCCGGGTATATCACCCATAACTGCGCATGTGTTGACTCCATCGACAGTTGCATCGATATCAACCACAGTTGCCTTGTCCTCTTTAAAATAGTCCAATTTTGTCTCCAAAATTAAATATCTTCAGTAGAGTTTGAAAAGGATAGTATTTATTTATTTTTTCAGTAAAGCTAATCTGATGCCAAGTTAGATGTCAGTGTTCTTTTCCAACGGACCCCCATCTTGCCAGCGAAGTCCCCAGCTGGTTTTTTAATAACGCAAGGCCTGTGTCTAACTTGTCCTTGGCCTCGCAAGATAAAACATTTTAAAAAATCATCCAAACGAACCTACACGTGTACAACATTCGATAGCTCAAGCCTTAGAACGAAACCTCAAGTTCAAGTCGCTTTTGTCTTTGCTGTTATGTTATTATTGTCTATATTTTCATCCCTTAGGATACCTAACTCAAACTCGGACCCCAGTTTTCTATCTTTAATTGTCCTTTATCTCTAAATTTTTTAATTCCAGTCGCATGTTCCCCTAATTTGTTTTCTTTCTCAGTGATGAACTGTCAAGAACTGTTAAACAGCTTCCTTTTGCGAACTACTGTAGTTTTTTTTTTTTTTTGTCTTTTCAGCTTTTTGTCAGTTTTTTCTTTTTTTGAAAACGCACTTTTATGAAAAGAGGGTACAAAAACACTATGGATTAAATCCATTCTGGTACCAAAGTTGTAAACGTTTATATGAGTTTATAACATAAACTTTCTAATTTCATGGACGACGTACAGGTAAACACAAGACGTTGCTTTTCTTTGTTTCTTTTGAACTTGGAAATGCATGGTCATTAAAAATTCAAATCCTGGAAAATTCGCCAACATTTGACAAACTGCACGAGCCTATGGAATAATCTGAATAATTGCGTTGATGTTTGAAACAACGGGAATTCACTTTGTACTTCAAAATTGAGTGACGTTTACACTGCCGTTGTCGCTGTGGTTGCTTACGTTCCCAGTCAGTGTAAAAATGACCCGACCATGAAGCAGGGCAATCTTTGCAAGAAGTCGTGTAGATCTCATATAAAACCTCCTTGCTCTTTAATTTTTAATCAACAGCAATTTTGGCATTTTGGCATATCAGGCTTTAGTGTTTAAAGTATTTTAATTGCCCGCCCGGATATTTTGATTTGAAGCAATATGCAGCTTCGCTAATATTTCCTAAGTTGAATTAAATTGTCCAAAAAAATAAATGTAATGAAGGTGGTAATTAAAAAGCGTGTCATTTTGGTCCTAAATTAATAAAGGCAAAATTGCTTATAAATTGAAAAGCCTTTATCTTGACTTAAAAGAGAAAGGAAATTAAAAACAGACATTGAGCCTTTCTCTATGGGGGGAGGGGGGAGGGTAATCCTTAGGTCTGGAAGTCTTCAAAGGGTATGGTGTTTTAGCCAATTTGGGTGTGCAACTGTCTAGTTTGTACTTTTTGGCCTAGAACTAAGGTGTAAAATCGGGTGCAACTTTTGTTATATCGTTTTCACCTCATAAGTAGTAAAAACATATTTAACGATCATCATGAGTTCGAGTAACGGTAGGGACCTGCTTGGATGAAAACGCGGGCAAAAGCGTTTCATGGGTAGTTTGGATCATTTATCAGGGCATACGAGCTGCAGCAATCTGATCTGAAGTAGGTTATGGAATTTTGCTTCTGGCCGCCTGAAGTGGTTAAGAGAGAAATCATATCTTTTGGTCTGAAAGAAGAGGCGGGTATCACCCGAAGCGTTTTTGCGAATCCCCTCCTGGATTTTCCAGAAGTCTCCCTTTGGGCGAAATATCAATACAAAAAGAATCATTAATTACGAAATCCTGAAAACTGAAATTCGCGCAAACTTCCTTGTAGAAGCTACAAAATTACTCAGTAAGACAGTTTATAAGTTGAGTAGTTCTTCAATAGGGAACTAAAAACAAAAACTAAGCGAAAACGTTAACACGCCTTTTTTTGCAGCTATTTTCAATCCTCGAAAATGTGCAAACATTTATATATTACTCTACCTGTTGGCTTTGTACACATACACTTCAGGGGTTTTCGCAATGTTTCAGTAGTTATACACTCCAAACAGAATATGTAATGACTCACGGCACCGCACGACATTATGTAGAATACCACTGAACGACATGTAACCTTTTTCTTTCACTGATTTCAGTATTTTTTGATAAATGATTTTATATGTCTGTCTAAAAGTTACGCATATACGTACATTTATGCTATATCGTTTCTTAATGCTAAGGAAACCGGCTTAGCATAAAGTAGCCAACAGAGTTGTCATGAATCAATCGCGCAATAAGTGTATGCATATGTTTTTAAATGAACACATATGCTGCGGTAACTAATACGTTTAACAACATAACTAGCAAATACTTCATATTTCGACTCCCAAGTAACATTGGTCGCTTCTTTATTCACATCTGTACTTTATATTTCTCAACTCTCAAAGCTGTCTTTGACCCGCTTTTTTAGTAATCGATGCTAAAGAAGGTAGCTTTATACGATATTGAACTAATCTTCCTTATTCACCAACCATTTGTTTGCTTACTCTGGTATTTCATTTCACATTTCTCTGCGTTGTGAAAATTAGTGCCGTATCTAATTATCATATTTTGCTAGCAAATTTGAAGGTGACACCGCTAAAAAGCTGTCAGTAACCTTGTAATTAGCCCATTCAGAGGCAACCAACTTCTCGGAAAATATCTGTTCGGAAGACTATTTGAGATCCAGAGTTTTCGGAACATTTGTTGTAAAAATTTCTTGCTTGCCTGCATTTTTCGAACATTTAAAAAATGGTATAATTGCCCATTTTTTACGGATTTTTACCCTAAAAATTGTCACCTAAAATTTTCGGGAGCCTTTTTTCTGGCTGAACTTTACGAAAAGTAAGATTTGATCCCTATAATTTTCGGATCACGAGACTTTCAGCTAGGAAATCCGAACAGATGAAAAATTTTTAGGGGATAAAATATGCCTATATCTACCGTTTAAATACTAAAATACGTTTAACAATGCTATGTTCAAGTGGTTTTGAACTATATTCTCGTTGGTTGCCCCTACCCTTGTCTTCAAGCTCTCTTAATAAAGTCCCTAAACAGGGATAACGTGCTGTTTCTTCTCCCTTGCATCGAGTAAAAATTTCATTTGTGAAACCCAAACATTAGGTTTAATTTTGACTACTCGTAGTGGCTGATTCCTTCATTTAAAGCACTAATTCTATAAACTTTACTTTCTATTTTGCTCTCGCTTTCACTGCCCCGTAGTTTCCTCAATAAGTTGTAAGCAGCAGCTCTTATTTCTTGCATTCTGATCCAATAAAGTAATGGATTCAGCGAGGAGTTCAGGTAAACCACGGTCGCACCCCACTCGTAAGCCATTTTGATTAAATTGTTATAGCCGACCATGATTCGTACAGCCATGGCTGTCAAAAAAGGAATATAACAGACCAGGAACATTGCTAGAACATACAACATGGTGAACACAGATTTCTTGTATTTTTTCATATTGAAGACTGTCCACGCTGAGCGGGTTTGAGCCCTGATTTGCTTCTGATGACGACGAAGCACTCGAAATACTTCAAAATACGACGCAAACGTTGTTGTCAAGCTAATACTTAGCACTGGCAGTGGAATAAGTGTCCAATATCTGTCTGAATTAGCGAAGAACAGAGAAACGCCTGCAGCAACGCAAAAAAACCAAAAGGTGAATACGACTTTTATCACACGAGCTTCAGTAACAACAAGTTTATACCGAAGATGTAAAGTAAGAGCAAGCACCTTGTCCACGGCTATAGTGGCAATTGTCATGACCGATACCCCGGCGCATACAAAACCAGCGATCCAATGAATGAGTCTTCCATAGCAAGCGGTTTTATGATTATATTTTAATTCGGCCACTTTATAGACGACAAGTAGCGGCTGGGCCAAGAGACCGATGACTAAATCGGAGCAGGCGAGGCGACAAATAAGGATATTGGAAGCCGAATGAAGAAGTGGAGTTTTCCAGATTATTAATAGCACTAATATGTTGAACGACACAGCTGTTACGGAGAATAAAGAGTTTAGAACGCAGATAAGGATTTCCGAGATTAGTATATTCCTGTTGTGTGTCAAATCCACCGTTTCCAAGAAAAAGCATGTTTGAACCAAGCTGCTGTTTCTGGCTTCCATTAGCACCACAGAGCTTCTGCAAAACGATTTAGAAAACGCCCCCAAGTATAACTTGTAAGAACTCTCAAATCTCTCATGTGCCACGTCCAATTTACTCAGACAACATAAGCCATGACCCGCGACAAAAAGCCATGACGAAAAGGCCACAAGTTTCAAAAACCGAAACCGGTTCGTTAATTATCAAGGCCTGGAGAGAGTCGTCAATATGACAGCGACAAGAAGATTGTGGGAGTTGTTTCATGTCACCTGATGTTTTGTCTTGTATAGCATGCCTTGTTCAACGCAAATTTTCCTCGGTGACAATAACCATCAAAGGGCCGTCAAAGAGGCTTTAAATAATGTAGCGTTTCCATACGGTTTTTGAATGATGCGGTTGACCTGGCAGGTGTCAAGGTCTGGCATATAACGGCTAAAAAACAATTATTATTTTAGAGCAGTGTGGACTCGGTCAATACCAAATGTCAGTGAGCGCATTTGCGAAGAATCATGGGGAGTGACCTAACAGAAATTGAAATAATGACGAATCACTTACGAGGGGAAGCTTATGCAAGATATAATAACTTCCATTTTTAAAGACAGCCAGTTGAGTTTTTTGTAATGTAAATTAACTTGAAGTTATCCTTGGTTCCTGTTTGCATCGATCAACCTGCGTACAGCTGCCGAAATTTAAAAATTTCTCCATTGTAGCGTTTTTGCTAGACTCAGAATTCCAATAACTTGTTCATTTTCATAGAATAAATGATAAAAGAGCGATAATCCTTCGTCCGTTTTCAAATTTTTAAGAGCGAAGACCAAAACGCCTATACTCTGATTCAGACTTCTGATTCACTTTCAGATAGATTGCGTCCTCATGAAAACCGAACCTTATTTACTATAAACCAGCAATGTTTTTAGGAAATTCATACTATTAATCAATCAGGGTAAAGACTGATTTAACTATCGTAGTATTCTCTGAAATTTTAAGATGCTATCTCGTCTAAGACCAATACTACAAACATCGGTTAATTACTGCTCAAGGATAAATTCAGTTAAAATTTACTATTGAACATTTAATGGCGCTGAACTCATCCATGTAGATGACATTTTAAGCAACATTTTGTAACTAAGATAAAACGTTGGACACTGATAATCCACCATATATCAGTTTTTGCAATTATTCAACAAAGTACTGGTCGCACCTCGATGGAAAAAATTCAACACGAGAAAAATAGCCCTTTTTTTCTTTGTAGATTTTGAGCAGCTGTTTTCAGTTCTAAGAAGTGTCTTTTAAAAATTTTGGGCACCATTATTTACTACGTGTACGAGATAAAACAAAAGTCTAAATCTCCAAGAATCACATTTCCTCCAGCCGAGGGAATCGAAACAGATTTTTTTTTTTTGGCAGACACCTTTAGGCAATCATTAAATTGATTATTTTATAGAAGTTTATTTTGACCACGAGCTGTAATTTAATAGGAAAGAACGATAAAAATGTATAGGTTTGTTATTGAAGTTGTAATTATGTGTTAAAGAGTAAATCTATAAATTTTTAGAAGAAAAATGTGCACGAGCTTTCTTGTTTGTGTCAATGTGTTAATATGAGACATTTTCTATGCCATCGCAAGTAATTGTAATACGAAAAAAACATCGATATCCCTTTGTTTCTAAACCCACTTAAAACAAAAAACTAGCGGCTTATCATATATCCTCAAAAACTTAAAGCTTTTATTCCAAAATTTTTACTTTTCTTCGCATGGCAAAACAAAAAAAACAGCATAAAATATTTTTAAAATAGTGAACTGTAATTATTAAGTCCAAGACGATATATGTAGTCGAATTCATGTATTCCTCTAAAATTTAAAGGCCTCGAATTGCAATTTTTCCTTAATTTTGAAAAGCCAGGTAAAGGCTTGTTATGACGTTAAAAATTTAGGAGAAAAAATGTTTATGAGACATCACAATCCAGGTAATATATCACTCTCCTATATTTTCATTGCCAAGCTGTATTCGCCGCTTTATTGTTGAATGATGTGGAGTCCCTGCTGCTCAAAAGAAAACACTTCAAGCCCGCTGATTGGTTTCTCTGTTTTTCAACTCCAAAATAATATATATTAACACAATTATCAACCCAGGGTCAGATAATGCTGACAATATTTATCCGACACTCATTCCTACTGGGCTGGAATATTTCAATTATCAAGAGACGTATATTTATCCAATAACTTGCCGTACCAGAATGAAAATCAGAAAGATACCAGTAGGGAATTAAACTTTAACTTAAAAGAGCTTAGACCACACTGTAAGTACTGTATTGAAGTTTCCTGTACCCATTATGGACGAGGGAAATTTAATTTACTGAAGTTTTGTCTGACAAAAGAGGGCCTTTGTGGGTGGCAGGGGTGGCTGCTTATCCTATCAAATGCTGACACAATCAGTTCAATAGTTAATACTCTAGCAAAGTCGATGTCCGTTTGCACAGCAAGACGTCCCGGGGTAACTTGAACTACAAGATAAGGATAAATGATTTCTTTTTTACAAGCTAAGAAGACCATGTGACATTGATTAATTACAACGCCTACTCATATCCTTCCTTATAAAAGTGACTTTTACATGAACAGCAGTTTTGAAGTGAAAACGAGGCGATAGGATGTTCCGCTTTGGATTACCTAGGCTCGACTTTCACCCCTCTCTCGGGTCCGGTCTCGTTCGTTCCCGAATAAAGAAGAGCGCGGGCTCATTTCCCGAACAGCGGCTGGAAAAAGAGCCTACTTATTCGCCACTTTTACAAACAAACAACGGGACTGGAACCAAAATGCATCCCGCAATTGGTTCTGGGATCGCTACCGGGGATTCCCAAGTCAGCTATTGGCCAATTGTTTCCCTGTCCCAAGTTTCAGTCCCAGAAGTCTTTGCGAAAGTTAACTTGACCCATATTCATATTCGTTTCTAAAGTGGAGATTGGTCAATTATCCCCAACATTACGTCATAGTTAAAAGTTCGCGCCATATTGATTTTAGCTAGTCATCCCAGAAAAAAGGCCGAAATAATCGACCCACATTTATCGAAATAGTAACCCTGTTATAGCTACCCAGGGTTCCAGAGGTTTTTTCTCGCTTGTGTCGAGGAGCTTCATCGGCCGCAGGCCGACACATCTTTGGCCTTCGGCCGAAGACACGAGGGGCGAATTGCATGATGACATCATTTTACTTATACGACCAGAATCCTTCAGGGTTTCACACGGGGGAACTTTTTTAAGACTTGACCGAAACAGGACTGGCACCCAGGGTAAGTTCCTGTCCTTAATGTACTTGAAAGAAGTTTCATGTTGATTAGTTGATCTTGGAAATGAACTTGCATAAAGACACTTTTTGAGTTTGTAACTGACCATTTGTCAGAAACTTTTCGTGTCATAAGGGTGCAGATATGTTTTTGTCGATAGCCGGTAAAGGCACGAGCTGAAGCAACAACTCTCGCAAATAAATTTTAAATTAGTAGGCAGGAGCCCAGATGGGCTCCTAAGTAGGCCATTTACATGATGACGTCATTTTACTATACGACCAGAATCCTTCAGGGTTTTGCTTTCTTGTGCAAATTACGACTTTTGTTGAAAATTCACTGGGATTACCAAATTTGAATATGCATGCAACCGTAAAGGATTCTGGTCGTAGTAGTAAAATGAAGCCATCCACCAAATGGCCTATTCTTGTGGCTTGGTGGATTTAACGCTACAACCGCGCATGATCAATGAGCGATTACAAAACGTGCCAATATTGAAAATTTAGTCTTTTTATTTCACGCAATGTTATGTAAACATTTGTAATGAACTTTATTTCGCCCAATCTGAAGAATGTAGAAAAACTGCTTTCACCACTGCAACGTTTTGCGCGCGTAACGTTTTTAGCGATTTGCGCACGATGCAGTTTAATTGAGCCATATGCGCGTTCTAAATAACGCTTTAAGACCTTATTTCTGAGGAGCAACAGACTCAAACAACTCAATTAACAACCTCTTGCCAAGCAGAAGTCGGTATTACGTTTCTAGTAAAGCTCGAGAGCTAGTGCAAAGGCTCCCTGGAAGGTGGTTGGTGTATACTAAAGATGTTGTTGAGTTCCAGTTCAGTTCAGATCGTGGGAACGGTGCAAAGAAATGTGAGCACTCCACTATCTAAACGCCAGGAACAGGCTAAGGCCCAGTTAAGACGTCGTGCTTCTGCCGTGCCGAACTAAATTGTAATTCGGTTGCTGTAGCACGGCAGGAAAACAACTTTGATTCAGACGTCGTGCCAGAGTCGAACCAAATTCAGGATTTACTGATGCCTCGTAACAATTCTTCTCCCAACTCCCCGTGAAAACGCAATCTCGCCAAAATACATTAACATAATTTATGAATTTTGTTTAGCGCGGCAGAAGCACGACGTTTGAATCGCTGCCGTGCCAGAGCCGTGTAGCACGGCAGCGCTTGTCGAACTTAATTGCTTGCCGAACTTAATTCAAAAGTTTGATTCAGATGCCGTGCTTCTGCCGTGCTTTTGTCGAACTTAATTCCCGAATTTAGTTTGGCACGGCAGAAGCACGACGTCTGAACTGGGCTTAAATCGATCGCATTTTTTAAGGAACTCGACGACATCTTTTGCCATAAAGTAGACGTACTTCGTGTATGTGTGACCATTAATCCCCAGCCGTATGTGTCCAAACATGTAACTCGTGTTCAATTCATTCCAATTCCTTTCACAAACATTTTCGAGTTCTCTCGTTTGGGGCAAGTCAAGAAGGCCGGGCGAAAGCTCGACCTCATCTCAAAATATAAACGATTTTTTTTCAATAAAATGTAATTAAAACGATTAATGAGAAGGCCTTTCGAATTCACCAAATTAAACTACAATCAATTTCTGGACCTAATGTTGTTCCTTTAAAGAACGATTTTCAGCTGTAATTATCATAAAACAGTAATGCAAAAAAAATTTTGCGAAACGTCAGTTTTGCAACCTCTTTGAAGATGAGGTACAATGGTAAACTGAGAGCGATTCAGATGTAAATTCAAGTCAATTAGCACCCAGTTTCGATATTTCCTAAATTAAATTTGAAAGAACATTGCCTAATGTCCATTTTGTAGAAAAAAAACGCGTATATGCACAGAATCTTGTAAATATCAACTATATAAAGCATCTGTAGAGATAATTATTGCAGTTGCACTTCACTACAGAGAAACAATAACAATCAATTTTTTTTTTTCAGAAAAATACAAATCCAAACGTAAATTTACCTGTACTTAACTGTGAATAATTTCATTCGCAAGTTTGGTGATCACAAAATTAAGGCAAATGAAAGAACTAAGAGACCCCGAAGTCCCCGATCTGGTGAAAAAAAGCCCAAATTTAGCAGGTAGAATTGATTTGACTCTTAATTTACCTTGCCGCAGGTCGGAGTAAATAGAAATGCATTTGTATCTTTTAAAATTTGAAGTTATTAATTTAGGTAGCTGCTTTTGGCTTCACAGGTTTCGCTTCAAAACTAAGCAAATTTATTTAGCACATCCGATGACCGATAGAAACGTTTTTGTTATTAACACAAACTTTTAATAAACCAATCAGAATTCTGCGTTTGTACAAACAATTTTAATGATCCGATCACTGTACTGTGATAGAGCATGCATAATCCTGTAGGCAAAGTCCTATTATGAATGCCTTTTAGGGAAGCAAATTGTGCTCACAAAAGGTAAAACATCTGCTTTGTAAAATCATCGTATTGTCAGAATTACTGAATTTTCGTTGATTATCACTGGCGTTTAACCAACTAGCTAGTCTTCGATCTCAGAGGAACAGATTTTGAAATGGATGACCTCGTGACAAATAAAGTAAGTTTTTCGATGCGAAACGCCATCAGCGTTAACTCACAAAGAAATCATTTACTTGGGAAAAAGGTGAAACATTTGGAAGCCGAAAGGGACCTGCGACTGTTAAATTTACAAATGAAAAAAGACGAAGTTGTTTTCGGATCTCCCTCACCGCGGGGCCGTGGACTCGGTAAATCACCAATCGCTTCTGACGGCGTTGGATCAGGGACCCCAATGTCTCAGCAAGACATTTATAACTTAACTGCGAGTTCAAGCAAAGATGAAGAGTCCACACGGCTCCATAAAGCTTCTAATTTGCCGCCGTTGCAGCTGGATCAAGCTAGCCTCATTGCTACTCCGCCTAGGACCAGAAGAGCGACCTCGATAAGAATGGCAGGTTCGCCAAATTCCGCTCCGCAGTCACCACTGGAGTCTTATATTCCCAGTCATAAAAACCTAACAAGGCAATTCAGTTCGTCACAGGTGCCCACAGGAACTAATTCGACTGAAAGTACGAGAGAGCTGCGGCGAGAGAATAGCGCCGAGGGTAAACAACAGTTCTCGCCTAGGTTGCTTGGGTCAAGCACTCATCCACCAGGTGCAGTTTCTGGGGTCTTTAAGTTTGACCTTCCACAACGGCCAAGAACAGCTTCTTCGAGCAAAGATGCGGCCGGGAGCGAGGTACACCGAGGGCTTTTGTTGCGGCCTGTTTCTTCATCCAAAGAGCAAACAAAAACTAAGGAGGTTAAAAAGGAAAGCGTTTTCAATAGACTGTACTCTAGCGGCAAGAAACGCGATGGAAATAAATTAACCAGAGAAATCAGTCTTGCAACGGGCAATCCAAAATTTGAAGCAACAAGGCGTCGCTCGATCTCGCTGCCGGATTTATCGGAAATATTGGACAAACTTAAGACGTGTCGCTACTTACGAGACAATAGCCAGTGAAAAAGAAAAAGCATTACACTCTGAAAAGTTAAGAAACAAGTGGAAATTTTTCAGGTATTTGATCGGTCACAACCGGGACGTCCGGGTTAAGACATGTTCATTACGTTGGGTTTTCAATTAAGTAAAACACCTGACTGTGCAAAACACCACATTAAGTTGCTCAAACGGCCGTTTAAAGCAAAGAAAAGGACAAATATAAAAGTAGTCGTTTGCTGAATAACTATGAAATGTTGTTTATGTTACACTCGTTTGTCTGTATCATAATAATTCACTAAAATATGTTAGACATTGAAAAACTCTTACTTCCACTGACTAAAAACGAGAATTTAGTTTAGGAATTCTTTTGTATTTTTTGTCTCTTCCTAGGTTGTGGATTACTGCAGTGTAATTGCGAACAATAAATTAAAATTAGCTAAGACGTCTTTGTTTAACTTGTTTTAATTGGTTCTATTTGATATAGATCAGAACGCCTTGTATGGCTTATAGTAACTCGCCTTGTATGGCTGACACTAAAACGTCGTCGGGGCCCCTTATGAGAGATTCTCATGGAGATTGTCAGAACGTGCCTGATGATAATATTTATTTCAACCTCTTGGTATACTATCAGAAGACCAGTCTCAAGTTAATCTCGTTCTTAATTAAAGTTGGTTGCTTTGTTCTTCACTTAACAAAATTATATTGACCTATTGCAAATTTAGTGGAATGAACAAGACAATTGAATCACTTAACTCGGTATAAAACATTGAATAGTCATTCATGTACTCTCTGGAGGTCACTTGTAAGTTTCTATACCACAGGATTGTATTTGATAACAATACATCCTTCTTTATTACAATCGATCATGATCTGTTTTGAATAAACCAAATTTTCTTCCCGTGAGAGGATTAATTCACCGAAAGTAAAAATACTGTTAACTTGATCCAACTAAAACTGTCTCAATGGAAGCATAAATTGTATCATTTTCTTGGAATTAATGAGTATCGTAAAGTTTGGTATATTTATGCAAAGAAAGTATGGTATGACATACCCTCTGCATATTTTAATTTGTATCTGCACATAGCACACAGGCATCCCAATTTCAATATGTGTACTGAGTAGCCTGTGTAAGTTCAATAGCTTCCTTCCCTCACAACTGATTCGATCAATCACAGTCAAACCTAGCCTCCCCGCAGACATCCTTTGGGGTTCGTTTGTCAGAAATGAATGCGAGACAAACGAACCCCAAAGGACGTCTGCGGGGAGGCTAAGTCAAACCGAATCACATAAATTCTCGAACATCACGATGTAACACTCCATATCCACTTCTTTCTTTTTACTGTGATAAAATCGGTTCTTTCCCTGTTGCACCCAGTCTCACAGAGCCGGGTCTTGTCCGTGAAATAAAAGACCCATGCTTCTTCAGGCTTGCGGCGTCCAACATGAAAGCGAGATCTGGTAACGAACTTGACCGACGGTGGCTATTTTGAAACGATGTGGTACCCAGGCTCTTCACATTTCCTCCAACCTCAAGCTGTTTAATGTCTTTGCGAATACCAAACTGTTTACGAAACCACTTCTTTGTGAGCGGGCTAAGAGGAGGCTTTAAATTGCCAAGCTTGTCCATGTCTTTCACAGACTGTACGTTTGAGTTGTTGGTTTGTTTTTCGGCCATTTCATCTCTCTTTAAGTCCTCTGACTGTAAATCCAATTTCGGGGGTTTGTTCTTTTTTGCACTCATTTTTATCTTAAAGGGAAAAGCAAGAGATATTTTTTTGTGCTTGCAATTTTTAAAATTTTTTATCTAAATCATGAACAAAGCCTTTACTTGGCAGGGGCGGATCCAGGATTTTTTTTTTAGGAGAGGGTGCACTCGTCTCTTGCTCTACTTCAACACCAAAACAACCACATGGTTTTTTTTTCCAGAATACCAGTTGTATTAGAAAACCACAGGTCATCTTGGGGGGGGGGGGGGCGCACCCCCTGCACCCTCCCCCTAGATCCGCCCCTGCTTGGTGCAATGGAATAGTATTTATCAAAACAAAAACTGTATAAGAAATAAAAAGCGCGCCGAGGAGATCGACATCCACTACTAGATCTTTTATTCAGTCGATGCCGAAACACGTGTAAAGATGGCGAGTATCTCGAATAAGGTCTATCATAAACAAATTAAAAGAAGTTATGACTGGTCTTTTGTTGGGGCCAAACTATAATTAAATGGTTGTTATGGTAATAAGGACTGGCGGTCGTACCTACCCTTCAAGCACCAAGGCCACATACTAGGCTGATTTAGCAACAGAACGGGAACGTCATTTGACGCCTGGAAAGCGCGCGAAAACGACTTAACTCTACTTCCGGTGCCCAATTTGTCGCTCTGCCATTGGTCAAGCAAGTTGTTTGATTTGCGCGCGCCGTCGTCAACTGACGTTCCTGTTCTGTTGCTAAATCAGCCTACTAATTCTCCGGACCGACCTCCATACATTTCTTTAAAGAATTTGCCGAGAGAATTTGATAAAAGAGCAAAGCATTTTCCCTTTGGTGATCATTTTGTCTATTCTCATAACCTTTCTCGTGATTATATTTCGATATTGTTAGGAGAATATTGAAGTTGGTCACTTCTAAGACTTCAAAAGTTAACAGGGTGGCCCCCTGGCTGAGGATTACACTGTTTTTTTCAATTTTCCCTCTCATCAAAATTTTGCATCGCAAAATACGTGATGTTAAAGGTTGCAATATGGTTTACTCGCTTATCCGACACGGTAAGCGGTCCCCACTTGCTATGCCTGTACAATATTTCATGTGTTAAATACCAAACCATCAAAGGCCAGATAATTTTTTCTGCATAAATTTTTGGTACATGTACAGTGTATTCAGGTTAAATTTTATAAGTAAAAAAAGTGAATTTTGACGCTCGATTCGCGAGTTCAGAGTCACTCACAAATAACTTGGTTCGGATTTCAGATCGGCATCTCCTTCTAACAATATGGGTCAATATAGTAGCAATTAAATAATTATTCACACACGTAAAATATCAAAGAGGAAGGTATTTTCGTAACATGTTGAGTTGTTATGGTTTCCCTGCTGAGTTTCTTGATGGGCTACCCCGGGGCAAAACATTTGTAGGCCGTAACCGGTGCTCACTTAACAGAACAAACTTTGATCAAGGTATTCCCACGCAGACAAAATGTAAAAGGAATCAGTAACTCATTAGTATGGTAAATTGCTTTCGACAGGCGCTGGAAGACGGAGAGGCGAAAACGTTCTATTATGCGAAATAAAAAAAACAAAATTATTTTTAAGTAATAAACCCTAAGGGTTAAGGCTAACACCTTATGATAAACCAAGTTTGCCTCTTTTAAAGCCGATAAAAGAATAAACAAAACATGTAAAGTAAAAAGCTTACCTCGGATTTCAACTAGCGAGTAAAGATATTTGAATTGCAAGTTTTATCAGCCCACCACCAAATTGAAGTAAGGTCTGTGTACACAAAAGTTAATTGGACAACACGCGTCTTACATGGTGAAAAAAGTGAAAAATTTGCATATGTGGATAAGCCATAAAGGCCGCTTTTGTTGCCAATGAAAGAAACTAATTCCTCACAATTTACCATCAGTTATCTCAGCAAGAACACTCCTAAAACAGAAATCTTTCGCGATTTTCAAGTTAGATAGATTCATAGGTCGATGGGGCTAGGACGAAACAAGTTGGGAACAACGAAAAAGATGTCCCAAATTCTTGAATCCAATTAAAATTGCACCTGGCAAAACCGATCTCTTGACAGCGGCGTCGATGTTTCATTAAATAAAAAGTACCTCATAACTTAGACAAGCACTTCTGAAACATGGCACATGCAGTATTTTTTTGTATGCGTAGAACTATATGCCTTCTTTTGGGACCATACTCTAACTGACTAGAATCTGGCCAAAACGAACGAAATATTTGGATTGTAGAGCATCTTACCTTTCAAAAAAATGCAATTCAAAAACTTCAGTCGCCGAACAGAACGTTCAGAACCGGCAACTGTGTGCTGTTTTGAAAACAGCGACTGTACGTAAAGTTATTCCTTAACCCCAAAAAGACGTATTCGTAACAAGGCTGGAAGCGTGTTTGTTTCTCCATAAAGATATCATAAGCTTTATGCCCTTTGTTTTGGAAATGAGGCCTATCCATTACCAGGCTTATGCGATATTGACTGAAAACAAAATTATCTTTTGTGAAAAACAAACAACGGTCGTCATGCTTCAAGTATTTTCATATCAACCAATAAATTACCTTCAAATCTGTTTTTAAGTTTCTGTGTATTCGAGAAACAGTATTTTGCGACAAGCGTTCATCCTGCGATGAACGTTCATCCTACGATCCATCGATCTAGCGATCCACCGATCCACAGATCCATTGATCTAGCGATCCAAAGATCCAGCAATTCCTTAACATAGGGATCCAGCGATCCACAGATCCATCAATCTAATTATCCAACGATCCATCGATCAAGCGATCCACCGATCCACAGATCCATCGATCTAGCTATCCAACGATCGACAGATCTATCGATCCACAGATCCACCGATCTAGTGATTCATCGATTTAGCGACCTGTCGATCCATAGATCCACCGATTAATGGATCCAACGATCCATAGATTCATCGGTCTCCATATCCTCCTATTCATCGATCCACAGCCTGATCCAGCGATCTACAGATCCCAGATCAATCAATCGATATAATGCATCATTAGTTTACCTAATCACCATTGGTAACCTTTATTTTATACAGCTTTTATCACATGTGTGATGTCAGTCGTAAGGCTTTTACACCGAGGTCCGAGTTAATATTCGGGTCCGACTGAAAAAAATAGGACCCGATTACAAAACGGTAAACATTTATATGACCTGTAAGCAGTCTAAGCCTACACAGCTGGCTTGCAAGCAGGTAAGCCGCGCAGCTGAGTGTGGAATGAACGCGAATTAAGCTAGCCTGCGAGCAAGCTCTTGTTCGCAGACTAGAATCAAACTGGAATTAAAGTCAAGTCCTGTGGTTGCGTTTGTAAACGCAAACCGATTTCATGTAATCTGTCCTGGATATACGGAGTGACATGTGGAATGTATATTGTATTTTCAATTTGTTCCAAAATTATTTAGTTTGACGGAAATCAAACTAATTTACTTTGGGCATAGTCCTGAGTAATTACTTGTTATACAACTCTAACGAAAATTCTGGCAAAAAAATTAGAAAAACGTACCGTGGCATACACTGACTTGTGGGCTGATCCTGTCTGCTGTTTGGTATGACAGACTCGTGAGAAACGGCTTAATCATTTATAACATATTAATTTTACAATTGGTTCATTATTCTAACAACACTACAGGGGACCTATAGACGAACAAGTGAGGCCAGAAAGGGACGCGCGAGCAGCACGCGAACAGGCGGACGCGAGAGCCTGACGTACCCTGCGTAGCTGGCGGGATTAGCGGGCGATTGCTGTAGTTTGGCCAGGCTCTGGAAGGTTATTTTCGGGATCCAAGATTTGACCAAAATACAGTGCGAGTTTCGGGAAGACGCAAAATATCTTGACAGGAAACGGGATTTGACTGCTTTTCGAGAAGCGAGATTCATCAAAATTTGGGCTCGGGATGCGCGCGGGATTTGTTTGCCTGTCTGCCGGGAATTCGGGAAGTCGTACGTTCTAGCGGGAAATGCGAAAGAAAGTCATAGAGGCGAGCATTCAGTGGTGTCTTCAATGAAAGCAAACAATAGAGTGAACTGCTGTAGGTAATAAGTCTAATAATTATTGACAGAAACTGCCAAGTAATCAACAAACGAGCGGACAGAAGACCCACTGTTTCAACAATAAACAATATTGCAAATAATACCCCAGGGAGGTCACATTTACTACATTTACTGTTATAAAACACATGTGTCGAAGACTGCAAAAATATATTCATCAGCGACTTAAAATTTAACGCACATTGTTAATAGCATTAATTACATATCTGCCATCGCTATACCGGCTGAGCTACGCATTTTCCTGCTTCTCCCCTCCGCAGAGGCTTTTGCTGTGTATTCTGATAAGAATTTATTAGCAATAGTTAAAAAGAAACGTGAGCGCACGGTGGACGATGGGAAGAGGGCTCTCTTCTTCTCTTTCCCCTTCCCATCCTCCGCTGTCCATCCTCCGCTGTGCGCTTTTTCGTCTCCCCAAGTTCCCTATGACACAAAATGGCCGTTGCCGAGGAGAGAGTTTTCATGCGGAAATTACCGTAACAACCTTAGCCTTTGGTTTTGTTTTTACCTGGGTGGGTAATACCCGGGGGGGGGGTACTCCCTAAATTGGGCTATATAGGTATGTGCGGCCCCAAAGGGTAGGGTTTTTCAGCCGTTTTGGTCATAAATTGGGTATCGATTTTGGCTATTTTGCCGCCATTTTGGTCATAAATAGAGTAACGATTTTTGCACTGTAGTCTTAACTTTGCAGTATTATAACCTACCTAATAAAAGCAGATAAACATTGCCTTTAACATTGGTCTGAACTAGGGAAATAATTATAAGGCAGGTCTGAAACAGGGTATTGATTTAAGGGTCAGGTCATAAATAGGGTATCAAATTTTTGGTTAGGTCATAAATAGGGTAGGGAAAATCGCAGATTTTGGTCATAAATAGGGTAAGGGTTTTGGGAAGCGGGCCGCACACCCCTACCCAATTTTTCTGCGAGTACCCCCCCCCCCGGGAGATAATAGCAACCTCGGTTTGCCTAGTTCTTCATTTAGTACAATTACGCAGGCTATTTCCTTTGCCGTATGCTTCGTTAATATGTTTCCAGTCACTATGCTAAATAATCAGTGGAATCCGAGCCATTCATTCTTGACCTTTTCCTTGATTTTGCCGTCTTCAGTGGACCAGGCGTCCACGTCACGCAAACACCATGTTTCTCTAAGCTAGCGGCGTCCAGCATCGAAGCGAGATCTGGTAACGAGCTCGATCGACGCAGTGATGTGGTATTCGTTCGCTGTGGGCTCACCACAAAATCCATTTGCATTGCTTTTTTGCGAAAGCCAAATTGTTTTTGAAACCATTTCTTTGGCCTCGGAGGCGTCTTTAGTTCACCAAGTTTATCCAAGTCTTTTGCACACCGCATATTTTCGTGGCTGGTTGGACTTTCCGCCATGATTTCGAATTCCTCTGCTTTATTGATGGCTTCTTCCCTTAAAATGCTGTCAGGTTCCTCTTGCTTCGTTGCCATTGTCTTCATGGAAACAAAAGAAAAAACACCTTTACTGTAATGTCTGTAATCAAGTTAAAATCACATCATATCGGCATTTTGCCAACTTGGGGTGGATGGACCAAACTTGAAATAGAAAACGTAGCGAAAACAAAAGCTTTTTACTTTGTAAAGCAGGAGCCCCTGTTGTAAAGGTATAACTTACGTTCACAGTGTTCCGGTGAGTCTGAGTATAACAAGAATTACCATCCGATTTTAAACGCTGGCGAACTGCAGTGTTGCCAAAAGTCTTGTCGTAAAACGACTGGTCGCTAAAAGGTGAAATTCCTTTCTCATTTCATAGCTTATACTATTAGCCTATTATTCTATTAACCATCATTCCTATTCATCAACCTGTATTAGCTTTGGCGTAATCTTACTTTATGACCCTAAAAATAGCAAGCAAATATTTAATAGGAAAATCGCCGCAAATATTGCTGTAACGCCGCACGAAAAATCTTGATCACCTCGGCGAGACTTAGGTTAGGCTAGGTGCAGGGATTCAGGGAACCTATACCTGAATGCCGGCGATTTTGTTTGATCAGCTTTGTTTAAAGTCTTTAAAGATGATAATAGTTAGATTTAATTTTTTCTGTGCTTATTCTAGTCATAAGCCAGATAAGCCGCGGCATATTATATCACCCAAGGGACTCCCCTAGGGTCCCCTAGGGGTGCTCGACGTACCCTATAAAGTTCGATTGCCACCCAGAAAGCTAAAATGGCAGCCATCAAACTTTTCGTAGTAATTTACGGGTATTTAAGTTAAGCCTTTGTTACATACATGGATTTGAGTCACACGTTCAAAATTCTGTGGTGGCCCCGAAATGTTGGGTTCCCCTACATTTGAACTGGAATGTACCCCTCCCTCAAGACTAAAGAACGATTCTAACTGTCTTACATAGTTGTCTAATCTATTCAGTTATGCCTGCAGAGTCCCGTTCAGTCAAATCCCGAGAACTAACTGCGCGTCCATGGTTTGCGGTTACCCGGCGGCACGCTATAGATAAAACCCTTCGACTGAAGTTTTCGCTTTATGTGAATGCAAAAATGTGGTCAAATCTAATTTTAACCTACCATACGTCCTCTTGCTACGTCTGATATATTGTTTGCTGCCTAAATCTCTTTGGCCTATAAATCCTAACACATGAAAAAATTACTTAACACTAGCAATATAAGGAGCCTATCGGCTTAATTCTAAAAGTATTGCTTAACTTTTCAACCTGCTACTATCTGCCAATATTCAAGCCCAGAAAACAAAAATAAGCGTCTTACTGGCGAAAATAAATAATAACAAGTTTTTGTAATTATAACGCTCAATACACTTGAATTTCTGGAGCTTAAAATAGACCACAAACTGAACCGATATATCTTGGAATAGAATTTTAAAAAATCTTAAAGGCTCTCAAAAGTTTTAATTGTGTTTAAAAGTAGCCATTTTCTCCATTCCCTTCTATGACTCAAATAACAACCTGTTCAGTTATGTCGGTCGTTCCCGACAGACACCTGTTGATCTCAAGCTAAAGGTATTACTGTATTACTGTTGTTGTTGTTGTTAGACAGGGCTGGGAAACTACTTGAAACGAAGTGGCGACTGAGGTGATTGGGTAAAGAAAGGCGTCGGGATTTCTGAATGTGGGCAGCCCCGTTGTAGCTTATCTCCTGTAGGTCCCGATTGTTTAGTTATGTTTCCAGGCATTGTTATTATCATCGTTAAGATGGTTTTCATCTCTAGCCAAAACAATCCTCGATATTGCTTCCTCGATTAAGGAAATGGCGTCGGAAATGACGGGAAACCGAGTGTGGATACAAACTAGCCATACAGGTTTTCGGAGCCTTTGCATTCAATAATAAGCTATATTGCCTGCTTAAACATGCGAATACTTTTTGCGATATAATCTCTGAACCAGTGCTGAATGAATTAAGGTAGCTAATAATGATAACAAGAAAACTTGAGGAAACGTCCACGCACTCAGTTTTTAAGGATCGTCGATTGAGTGTTGCTGTTGCCGTTGCTGACTTCTATTCCGTATGATACATGCTACTTTTAGCTTGTACCGTATCCTCATTTAGCTGAACTACGAGTCCGTCAATTTTTTTTTTTTGGAAATAAGCGAAGGACATGCGACCGACTAAGCAGCACACGTATTTCGCTGCTCAGTCGAGCGGTAATCTTTGAGGGCCACGTATCATGTCAGCTTTTCAAGTCGGTTAAAAAACAAGCGCTGACTGACAAAATTACATAATAAAATTCAAGGATTACTATTATACGTCTTAGTGTTATGTTTGTTGCTTTAATAACTAATCCTTTCCTTTTTTTTTATCTTGGCACCCACTCGGCATCATCCGAGCTAAAGCCAAGTTCATCAACGCCTTGATTTTCGATCGGATTGGTGAAGTATGGGGTTGCGATGATGAGGCATTACTAATACCGTGATAACTGCACGATAGAAATGAAAGCTAAACAAACGTTCGTGCAATTCGAGAGAGAGGAAGTGGGTACCGGTAGAGAGAGCATTTTAAAAGATATGTTCTCCTCCCCATTTCCGCGTTTTTGTGCAACTTTGATTAAATTATAAGAAACAAAATCCTTTTCCAGAACATTCCAAAAAGATTAAGCTCAAGTCACGATTATGAAGATATTTTTGAACCTGCTACTCGTTTTCGTGACGTACACCTACAATAGTTAGACGCTCTGAAAACCGAAAATAACCGGTAATTTTTGAATCCTTGTAAATGTCGATGTCAAACTTAGCTTTCTCTGTCTTTAACTTGACAGTGTTAGTTTGCGCATCCGTCATACTGTTATGTCTCTTTTAAACCTTGATGTTTAGTCAAAGCATTTTGTAAATGACGGTGACCCCGATTGTTCCAGCTTTTCCTTTAGCTAAATATCTAACAAGGGTTGGACTTACCGTTTAAACAACTTCAATTTAAGTCGGTAATTAACTTTATGCAACTCATGAATTTAAGTAGAGGTCCTGGATATCAAATGTTCGTTCCTTTTCGAGCAAACTAACAATCTTGGAAATACTCCGTAAAAAATACGCTTGTACTTCTACCCGATACAGGGGAACGTCTAAAATGAATGCAAATTTAGGGAGACTTCCCTGTCTCCAATTCTAAAATCACGGGATATTTTCGTGCCAGTTCTTAAAATTCAGTGCTTTAGAAATTTGGGCTACGTCTCAAAACGTACCTTCAAAAGATAAGTTGTAAAATTTCCCATGAGTGTTCCCTTGCATTTTTTTGTGGCAAATCTCTCCAGTGTTATAGCTACTGTATACTACAAAACCAAAACTGACTAATCATGGCGCAATTTTTTAGGCCTATGACTGTTACAATGAGTTGGTTGCATACATCATGCAGTCACAATAAAAGTAATAATAATAATAATGTGCAATAAAATCGGATATGAGGAGTCCATGTCACACTGTATTGGGACCTAAATTAATCGTAGACCGACGAAGTGAAGCCCTACGCAACCGTGAGTCCGATCAGAAGCGGCTTTTATCCTCAGCTTAAAGGTCTTAAAGTAATAAAGCCTGACTTCTAAGTAGCGTTCTATCGAGTGCTACATTGAAGTGGATATGGATGGGCTTCTCTGTCTTGTGAAAGGTAGAAAACATTAACATTTTCTAGACTAATTCGTTGTACAAAAAGAGGTTGATATTTCCAAGCAGACTGAAATTCGACTCCCTTGGCATCAAACTGAACATACCCGGTATATAAAGTCTACGTACCTTTTTTTTTTACAAATCCTTGTGGATAAAATTTTATATTTTGTAGTACAGTGTCCTGAATGTACCATGAACGCGTACTCACATCTTATCCGCGTGACAGAGTCAGAATCCACAGATTTACAAACTCACGTTTCAGCTATTTCGCAGGGTGGGGCATGATAACTACGCGATAGTTGATACTTCTTAGTCTCAAAACAAATAACTACCGCAAAAATGTTTCATAACCTGTAGAAATATTGTCACAACTTTCCTTAACATTAAAATGTCTAACTGATAAGCAAATGAGAAAGTTCCTACCGACAATGGGAACAGGCTGAGTTGTAAACAACCAGAGACTTGTAGCCTCGAAATATAGGTGACTTTGGTACGAATAATTAACGCCACAGAAGACAGCATTGGGTAGCCTGTTCTAAATCCAGGTTGGCAACCATCACGCAAGATTCGTACAGAACAAATAAAAAGTTGAGCCGACCCCATAATTTCTCTATTATTTGCTTATGAATAACAACTGAGATTGATTCACCGTGATAGGCGGGCATTTAAGTTTTGGCCTGTTTCAGGACCGCAACATTGGTGAGAAGAAAGGTGAATATCACCCTCCGGTCTTTCTTATAATTTCATGCTTGTTAATAATTTTGTAGTTTTCATGGGTTGTATAAAAAGCCCATGGCCTATAGACCTGAGACGACCCAATACAGCGGGTTCGTGCAAAGTGGCCAGTACAGACGCCTTCTCCAATAAAAAACGATTTTTTATTTGGGGGGGAGGGGGGCGTCTGCACACAGGCTGCTGGTGCAAAGTGGAATGTTCGTAGAATACGTGCATGGTCTTCACGAGTACTGTGCCATTCTCCCTTTCCACTGGAACGTGCGGTGACAAATTGAATTATATCTAATATTTCACGGATTAGCCATATATAATCTTATTTTCGCTTTTGCTAAAACGGATGAACTGCCAAACTTGTTTCCGGACAGAATGTCGACAATCCTACAGCACTGTGTTTTCTCAGTTCAGATCAGACTCTTTCATTTTGCATTTACCCAGGCGGGTGAAGAAGGTTATGGGCTCGTGGTTTGTATCAATTCGGCCACGTTGCGCACGTGCGTACATGAAAAAGGGTAAAGGGGTAATCAATAAAGGTAAAAAGAAAAAAAATAAGGGTACATAAAAAAAAATACCAATCAATCACTAGCAATAACGGTGATACAGTAGACGGTCGAAGCTTCGCCACGATCAAACTATTAATTTAATCGAGAAGCGATCGACTTGCACGTGCTTCAATCAACGGACCCAAAAATTTTACTTACGCTTAGTTTTACAATGTAACCTGATTTTTAATCAAGGCAGAGTTTTAGGACTGTGGCACGGAAAATTAGAAAATTGGTGATGTGAAATCGGGTATACATTTATTTTAACCGTTTGGGTCTGAAATTGAGAGGGCTCATTTTTAAATGAAACCAGACTCTGAAACTGTGCGTGTAGTTTTTTTTGGCCTTGATTTTGCAACAAAGATATAAAAAATATTCATGATGAGCCAGTCATATCATTGGTCTGATGTTATTTCTAACCGTTCTTCACGGTAAAACATTGCGTTCCGTGTTTCGATTACTTCAGTAACATGTACGTTTTTGACATTCATTTCATCATGATGCTGATAGTTGAAGTAAGCTTTCAATATCATTCACGCTAAGTACGGGAACTTAAAAAATAGGATTTCAGTGCTTCATTCGACAAAGTTCGACAACTGCAATCGAGTTGCTTGACGAAAATAGCCCATCCCTTGAAAATAAATGTTGAAGTTTTGTTAAATTACAGAAAAATGGCTCACGTTTGCGTGAGCAAAAAAGTACACGATGTGAAAGCGTATTTCATAGCTTAGGAAGTATAGTAAAAGCATTTCAACAATTAAAAACGAATTGAATAAAATCAACAGTTACCTTAATGGTCCAATTAAGTTTGTCGGACGACTAACAAACCTGATGAATTCAGTAGTGAATGTTGTCCAAAAATAAACGCGGGAAAATGGTTGCTTGGTTCCCACAAGAATCGAGGACCAGAGTCACTTGGTGGAAATGTTTGTGCGCGCCTATTTATGCAAGTTTAGTCGTTTTATGTCAGTGTCTCTGTTAAATAATTGAAGCACCCGTCAAAGCCGACTGAGTCATTCTTTAATTAAGGAATTGGCATGTCTCCTTTAGCTTTTTCTAGAGTATATATACAAGAAAAAGTTTACTTTGATTCAAAACCCACGTATGACGTGAATTTACCACAGTAGGACTTTGAAATCCCCGTCCAATTAGAGGGTTTTCAGGGAGAAAAACCGTTTGGGACTTTCAGGTATAGTGCACCTACAGTATGAAGGGTAGGGAACGTATCAGGATTTTCTGTCAGTATTCTTGAAGATAAATGCAAACAATACTCGCCTTGTCAAATATCGGTTGTTCATTTAGCGGCCCTCGAAAAATATGTATAAGCTTTGTCATCGATAAGTTAGATTCAATTTTACCTTGGCTACAACTTCGGACAAAACTATTGAGAGAGTTCCATCTGACCCATCTACTTTCTAACTTTTGCGCTATAACATCTGATCATCTCCTCAGAAGAAGAAGTACGCCTCCTCCCCACCCCCTGTTCAAAGTTGTTTTGGTCTAAGAACTCTGGTGTTATCCTAAACAACATTGTATAAGGGAAGATAGAAGCTTAGGGGCTTTCATTTAGCGACGGTTTCCAGTTTTGGTGCGGGATGACAGCAAAAAATATATCGGAAGAAGTAAGTACTACATATGTAGCGCCAACGGGCCATTGTACTATTTACATGATGACAGAGAAGAATCGCCGCGAAAAAGACCCTTTGCCCACAAGCTCCCTGGCCCTTAAAAGAGGGGAAAAAATAAAATAGGTAATAATAGTTCCTGCTTTGAAATGCACACCTCGTGTGTCATCTTTGACAGAAGTGAGTTTTCTTTGTATAACCGCTGAGAGCCGCCATACGCCGCCATTTTTTGAGTTGCGAACTTTGGAGCCTCCTGTTGCCCTGAAAGCTTCAGTTTATTTCTAAAGCAGAGGCAATCGTCAGAAACAGTCAAAATGCAGGTAACTGTAACACTTAATCCTAACTTGATGCTCGGGGTTACCTCCCTTTCCATTGCAATCTGCGCGGGCGTTCACTTTGAATTTTGCGTGTTACGAAATCGCCGCGCGCGTTGTGGAAATTTAATGATTTTCGATTTTGTGCAGTGAACAACAATTTCGCTTCTTATGCGTTTATATTGCGTCGCTTTTTTAGTGGCTTAAAAATTGTTAAGTTATATTCTATGGGAAAGAAAATCAATTTTGCTATGGATATTCCTTTCGTCATGTCAGCTGATTAGTGTCTGATAGCATAAACCAAAGTCTGTGAGGAGTCGTCAAAGACTAAGAAGATCGTTATTTCCTCTTTGTGGACCAAACTATAATTTCTTAGTACTGCGCATGATAACACAATTATGTTTTCAATCCTGCAGGTAGACATTTTGGACTTTAGGAGTCAAAGGAAACTGTGTACTTTAGAAAGTGTAAGTTACATGTCCAATTTCTCATGATAATTCATCAGTCAATTCTAGGTGTGCCCAGTCTACGGACTGAGTATAAAACACGGACTAGGTATAAAACGTGGACTACGGACTGAGTATGAAACACGGACTGGGTATAAAACGCGGACTAGGTATAAAACGTGGACTACGGACTATGTATATAAAAACAGCTTTAGAAAGGTGAAACTGAGAGAAACGGATAGTGGACTAGCATAAAACAGTAGTCCCAGCTCCTTGCCTCACACACAAACATTCTTTTGGCTGGTCACGCAGTCTATTCTCCTCAACTTCAGCGTGGAGAGGGAAACAGGGGCGGATCTAGGGGGAGAGTGCAGGGGGTGCGCACCCCCCCCCCCCCTGAGATGACCTGCGGTTTTCTAATACAACTGGTATTCTGCAAAAAAAAAACTATGTGGTTTATTGGTGTTGAAGTAGAGGAAGAGACGAGTGCACCCCATCCTAAAAAAAATCCTGGATCCGACCCTGGGAAAGGATACTGCATGGGAAAGGAAGGTTATGCCAATACTCAAGGCAACTGAAAATGAAACTCTGAATTTTATAAGAAAGGGGAGTTAAAAGAGAATTCAATTTATAGTTTTAAACCAGTAGGAGATATGGAAATTGAGAGGTACCAAATTAAAAAAATAGTATTGGTGTTAGTGAGAGTAAAATTCTTATAGATGCCACTATTCCATTTCAAATAAAGCCTTGGGGATATCAGGAAATGAAGAACCCAGATGAGAAGGTCGATATAGGGGCATTCCATGATGCAAAAAAGCTGTATTTAGGGGGGAGGGTTATTCACCTACACGTGAATAATAAGCGAAATATATCATCCAACATTATATTCTAACTGATGATGATATGTCTATTTTACACCTATGTAAACATGTACATCGCATTTGTGACGGCCTGGCGTGGATGTTAGAGACTGAGACCAGGTCTAAAAATGGGCGTAGAAAATAGCATTTTGGTCAGGCTCAGGATGAGGAGAAGCAGGTGGCACACCTCCACCAAGAATTTCCAGGAGTATTTATAACTTAAACTCACGTTTTGTGCTATTTAGCAATCTTTCGAGCTTATTTTACCTTATCTAGAACCAATTAGCACAGTTTTTACCAACGTAGTCCATAGTCCACATTTTATACCTAGTCCGTGTTTAATATCCAGTCCGTGGTCCGCGATCCACAGCCCATGTTTTATACTGACCGCTATCCAAACATAACTAAACATGGAGGATGACAGGGTGGAGATTCTGCTGTTGGGACATTTTATTACAGAAAAAAATATTTTGTCAACACCAATAGTTCATTGAAAGTTTAGCAGAGCTTTCGGAACCCTTGGGATTCCTTCATCAGTGATGGCCTTTGCTGTTAGTTGCAGCCTTATTTTGATGAGGCTGCAAAATTGTTCCATTAATTAGGGGAAGGTTGTAGCCCTGATCACAGTTAATTTCTGGTCGCTGCTTCTGAATTTATATGGCCTCGAGTATCTTGTGTGAAAGCAGGTCGTTTTCCTGGCCAATAATTTTTGCACTGGTCCAGTGTTCTTAGCATGTTCAGACACAGCGGACTTGAGATCATTCTGCCTTGTCTGAACACGCCCCCGTGAATTTATTTGAAATGGCTTTTCGTGCATTGAAACTACATTGTATTCATGTTATTTAATCATAAAGTGTGAAAGCTACCCTCTTGATCTGAGCACTATAAATACTGTCTTCTGTAAATGTAATATTCCATCTTTCCAATGCTCATGTGTTGTTGACAAGGTTAATGTGTAAATAATACGTTCTTCAAAACTTAGCTCACCGATCTTTAAAAATCTTTTTAGTTGGAGTCAGCTGCTACGATTTCTGATGTCAAAAGAGAATATCACAAAAAATGTAAGTTTTAAGTAATAAGAGATCTTTTGTCCTTCTCTCAAACCTACATGTACCTGCACTGTTGATGTCTATATTTTTTTAACTACAATTTTTTAACTACAATTGGGTGCTTAACAAGATAAAGTAATGTTAAACCTCCTTGATTAATGGTGACAAAAACCAGACTTTTCTGCTTGGGATGAGGCATTACTTATCTCTAATGTACCCACTATTATCACCATACTCTGCCTTGGTCAAGACCTAGAACGTGTAACTTCCATTAAGGACAACCGGGGTACATTTGCCTCATAATTGTCAGATATTAATTGACCTTATCATCCTACTAACCTCCTTTCTTTTATCCACACTATGTCAGATAAATAAGGTACAACACTTATTCTCTTAAGTTGTACAGTATAAAATCTTAACGGGGCATTATGTAAAACTCTGTGGGCCGTATACTTGCTAGCACATAGAAGTTTGATCAAATTTCGCCAATGGTGATGTTATACGGTATTATACAGTATTGAAAAATTTTTTCAATCCTTACAGTTCCAAAATCATACCCAGAAAGACAGTCATTCCGTCTTGAGCCAAGTAAGTGCCATAATTTTTCTTTATTGACCTTTCCCACATTCAGCTCTGGTGAGCAAACTCAAAGACATGATGTCAAGGCTTGGTTGTACAGTTTCATACAAATCTCTGTATTTTGTCGACCTGAGCCTTGAGTTGGTGCCTTTGTTTACAGGAGTGCAAAAAGGTTCTATTATAACGAGGAAATTTATTAAAATTCATCTTCTTAGAAGGAGTGACTGTTTAACCCTTTAAACCCAAGGAGTGATCACCATCAAATTTCTCCTTGTAATATCAATGCTCTGTGAGACAGAGTGGTCATGAGAATTACAGACTTGATCATACAAGATGAATTTGCTTGATATTTTTAGTATCAACTTCTCCCCACTTCCTCTGTAGGAAATTAATAGGGGCAACAAATGAGAATTCAAATTCTGATCTTAGGGTTTAAAGGGTTAAGTGGTTTTGACTACTGCACTACAGTTGAACCTCCCTTGAGCAGCTTACCATCGGGGTACCGGCAAGTTGCCGATAAATGGGATTTGGCCACTCAGTAGAGGTTCCTCATACATGTAAATCAGCATAATCTTTGGATTAATTTAGGGTTCTGGGAAACTACCCACCTACCCCTCCCCTAAGCCAACATTTTGCCCTAAGTGAAAAGTAAGTGATAATGTTAGCTTAGGGGAGGGGTAGGTGGGCAGTTTCCCAGATACCTAAATTGATCCTAATTTTTAGTAGAAATTTCACTTTATTTTGAAACAAATGCATGACAGAAGAAGCATTACTGGTCCAAAAACGCTCACCACCTTCTATCTCGGACTGTATTTTCCTTCATCATAATTCTTAAAATGAAGCCAAACAAAGTGTATCAAGTGCTTGATGGCCGCTTTTAAAATAGAGGTAACAACAACAATGGGGACCTCTTGTTAGGAAGGCCAAAAGGGCGCTGCAGTCACCCACTTAACAGGCAGCTGCTTAATGGAGCGTGGACTGTATTATTGTGTTGCTGTGGTGATTTAACTACTAGAACAATGGTATTCAATGGTAGTTTTACTAATACAATGGTGGGTTTATGGTATCATAAAAGTAACAAATTATTGTTTCATGTATCCAGGCAATGATCAGTGGCAAAATTCCACTAGCTGCCATTTTTCTCTCGGAGAAGTAGAACTTGTGGTCAAGTTTTTGCAGAATTATCATACAAAACATCTGATAATGGTAATAGGACTGAGTTTAAGTCCAATTTCAGCCTGTACTCAGACAAGTGACACAATTGCACCACACTAAGTTCAGTTAGAAATTAATGATTTCTATAACAAAATTTGGGGTAATTTAAACCTTTTTTTATAATCAAAACACAAGATCTTCAAAGAGCTTTTGGCCAGAACTGAAAACATATATTGGTGTTCACATAATGGCATGTCTTGTGCATACTTTTAAGGCATGACGTGTACTGTTACACTGTCCTATTAGTGCTAAAATCAGTGCTACTGTAGCCAATCAGATGAGAGTTTTTTTTAGTACTATGGCTTCTCAGCCAATAAATGCCTTGTGTGACTCAAATAGTGTTGTTACACTGTCTTATACATGTACTGAATGAATGTTTTGTTTGTATTATTTTTCATTTTCTTTCTGAAGGAGGAAAATCCTTAAAGGATGAGGATAAATTAGCATCATTTGACATAAAAGATGGAGGAAGATTGTACTTTAAAGACTTAGGTAAGATTGTTATTATCATATGACAATCATACATGTGGACGCACTCCAGAATAAACAAAAATTATGATATTTTACGTACATTGTAACAATCTGCTTATATATTTGCCTTGTCCTGGGTTAAGTCCATTAAAAAATAGATCAAATAAACTTCTGTTTTTTTACCCTGGGCAGTATTTATAGCACTAATGCTAGTGGGGCCAAGCAAAGTCCTGAAACAAATAAATTTGAATCTAACATACATGTAAACAGGTTAAGAATCCTTATTGGCCAGAGGCAAACCAGTTGGCTATTAGCAAGGGTGGTCGAGGATTTAAACTCGTGACTAGCGAGAAAAAACCAGCAAGCGATCAGAGTGGGACTTGAACTCGAGGCCTCTGAATTGCAAGTCCAGAGGTCTAACTGCTCGGCCACACTGCCTCCTTCAAAATGAAAGTAGTATTTTACATAGCTCTTTTTGAAAAAGTTTTTTGAAATTATACAAAATTAAATTTGGGTATTATTTCTTCTTGATATGTTTTGACTGGTTAAAAGGTCAGGGGTGAAAAAGTGAAAGGATTTTGCACCACATTAATCTGTACTTTGATTTAATTCGTAGGTCCTCAGATAAGCTGGAGAACGGTGAGAACATTTTTCTGTTAGAATTATTTATTAGGAAATTATGTACAGAGATAACATAAACTTACATGCATGCTTCCACAAGGTTTGATCATTTTTTGTGGAAATGAAATGTATACGGTGTATGCCTGCATAAATCAGGGCTTCTGATATTTCGCGGAAAAAAAAGCAAAATTTCGCGGGATTTTCAGGGGCAAATTCACGGAAAAATCGTCCAATTTCGCAGGGTTTTGTGGGAAAAAAGTCAAAATTTGCGGAAAAATCGGCTGATTTCGTCGAATTTTTGCAGGAAAAAAATCAAAATTCGCGGAAAAATCGGCTGATTTTGTGGGATTTTCGCTGGAGAAAAGTCAAACATATTCACTGAAAAATCAGCCGATTTCATGGGATTTTAGCGGGAAAAAGTCAAATTTTGAAGGATTTTCAGGGGCAAATTCTTAGAAAAATCGGCCGATTTCATGGGAAATTTCGGGGGGAAACTTCACCAAGAAACAATCGGTAAAAAACAGCTGATTTCGCTGGATTTTTTTGGCAAATTTTGCTAAAATCGATCAATTCTTGCGTCGCTATGACCAGCGTTGTTTAACGCCTTTTTTAACAGAGGGGTTATAATCATTTGCTCTTTCAACAACAGTTCGCTCAAGAAATAAGCGAATGCTAAAGCTATTAACATTATGGTTAGTGCCCAGTTTTTCGTAACGTTCATCTAAAAACGCCTGGTAGTTTTGGGACGTTGTTTACTCGTTGCAGTGACGAAGACTTAGTTTCAAGATAAATTTGGACGTTTGAGGTGAGTAAAACAGGTCTAATAGCCAAGATAAGTTTTAAATATGTTTTTCCAACAGGTATTTGGAAATATTTCTGGCGGATTTCGCGGTATTTCACGTTTTTTTGGGAATTTCGTGGGATTTTGCGGAAATACCTGAATTTCGCGGGTCTGTGACCGTGTGAAATATCAGAAGCCCTGATAAATGTTGAATAATTTTTGTACAAAGTACTTGGCCTATTCGACTGTCTGCTAGGGTTCTGAGAACAGATTTTAATACCAACAAAATTTTTACATGTAATGGTGAAACCTTTAAAGTGGACCCTTTAATTTTATTAACCTGGCCCCATGTGTTCAAAAGGTTGGTAACACTATCCACCAGGCCTTGGTTGTTCAAAGGCTGGATAGCACTATCCACTGGATAAATCTCTATCCAGTGGATAGTGCAATGAGTTTCCCCAATACTTATCCGCTGAATAGTGGTTTATCTGGTGGATAGCGCTATCCAACGTTGTAACAACCAGGGCCAGATAAATCCCAATCCAGTGGATAGTGCAATTATTGGTTTCCCTTGTACACTAATACATAAATGTGACGTGCAAGTGAAAATGGTTCATGTATGAGCCAGAAGCATGCATGATCTTGGACTCTAAGAGTTTCTATAGGTTATAATTGTGGGCTAATTGAAGAGCAAAAGGTGTAGTACTCATCATTACCTTCTTTTGTATAATTTATAGGTATTTCTGGCTGAGTATGCTAGTCCCCTCATTTTTTACGTGCTCCTGTACCCACGTCCTTCTATTGTCTATGGTGCAGCAGCGGCAAGCAAACCCTATGCTCCTGTTGTGCAGTAAGTTTACATGTTTTAAACTCATTTTTGTAGATTTATGGCTGGTTTTATATATCCCATTGGGTATTGTGGGATGTTACTCTGCTGTCTGATTAGCTCAGTTGAATGCATGAGTACCAGTCCACCAAGTGGAAGGTGGTAGGTGAAATCCCTGACCAGACCAGCAATCAGGATATTTTAAAAACTGGCAAGACTATGATGACTGTGATCTATGAAATTTAATATTATTGTAAGATCTTGCCTTAGCTCAGATGATCATGCCATGCAGTTTGATGTTTAAAGCCATTGGCCATGTCTCCTTCATTCTTCCTTAGTTATTAGAATGCAAAAAAATAAGTCCCACACTGCTTTTTGGAAAGAGTAGGGGACATAGAACCCATTGGCAGGGTTGTGAAAGTAGCTGGCTGCCGGTGAAAATCGCTGCCTACTTGGTCAGTATCGGCCGGCTACTCTGCTTGGCATTTCTTTATGGATGGCATTTTTAAATAAAATATCATTGGACTGGCAAAGAAACATCTCCTGAAAACTGTAGCAAGTGTTTATGTGTCACTTGCAGTTAAATTTAATGCCTACACTCAGTAATTCACCTTAGATTTTCAGTAATTTTCGAGAGAAAATAGCCTGGGGAATGCAGAAAACAACATTTTAGACCGTCTAAATATAAAAATTTTCCAACTTCCCCAAGACCCCACAAGAGGCTTGCACCTTTGGTGCTCGCCAGTTCCTCCAGAGCTGGCCGCTTACTTTGACAACTAAGCCGTCTACTTCAAAACTTTCTGACAACCCTGATTGGTGTGGTCTATCTTTCATTTGGGGGAGCAGAACTGTCACAGGACCACAGTAACTGGCTTTTCATTGTTAGTGTCAAAAATAGTATTGGAATATCTAGTACATTCCTTTAGTACATTTCTTAATACACACTGGCTTATGCATTTGTTATAGTATGCCTTCATGCTGTACTTGTACAACAGTCATCATTTCCAGTCAGTGATTTTGTTACCTCTGCGTCCTGCTTCCCTAACGCAATAAAATCCCCAAAGATGTTCAAAAGTTCATGGAATGCATCTGGTAGGATGCAAAGATGTTTTTGTAGAATATCCTGTTCATGTGATTTCTGTGGCTGTTGGTTGCCAATGCATATTTCTTTTAGTCTTCGTTGTGCTTTCAAAGAAAATTAATCTTTTATCTGTCTGGTCACATAAAGGCCCAAGCATTTTCAATTTAGGACTTAGTCTCATGATTTGTTGTTCTTTGTAACAAAATCAGTGCCAATACAGAGTATTCATCTTAAACCTTTTTTGTTTCAGTATTGCGGCAGCTTGTTGGGCAGGACATTTTGCGAAACGACTGTTGGAGACTTTATTTGTTCATCGATTTTCCCATGCGACCATGCCTTTATTCAACCTTTTCAAGGTACATTGTGTTGTGCATGCTCTGTTTTGAAGGAACTGGTTAGCTTGAATGCATGTAGGGCATTCTACGAACTTTTATGTCCTGGAGCATTGTACATTTTACTCACACTGGTGTGATAGCTTTAGCAATACATGAAGTCACAGTTTTTAATAATAGTTTTTTTAATTACCAAATGAGAGAAAATAACAGCGAAAGATTGGGAAATATTTGTAGCAAATGATTCTATTTATATATGTAACTTGGTCGAATCTATGTTCAACATAGGGTAACTACATCTATTCCATTCATGAACTTGTTATGTGCAGTGTGTATTTGATGCAATTTTCTATTTTCTTTTCATTCTCTGCATGGATTCTAAAGAACTGTGCTTATTATGGGTAAGATATTAATTTTTATATTATCTACTTGCTAAAAAGCTTTAAAAGTCAAAATTGTTGTCCACTAAATCAAGACAGAAAATAATTCATATTGATGGTGCTGACAGGGTTTGCAAATTTTATTGATGAGTGGAGTCAACGTGACTTCTGCTTCACAAATTTTGGAGTCATTTGGGAATATTTGGAGTCAAGTATCACAACGAAAAAAGCCATTTTCAGACTTTCCTGCACGTGGTCCTGGCATGTATACACTATCGTGAGGGTTACACAAGGTAGCTGTGGCGGTCTGCTGATGGAATGCTCAAATCCATGATGGCGGTCATCGAGTAAACTTTGATCATAATTTACCCTCTTCCTGTTTTGTCGTGCAGTATAATTCTTTAATTTCGATGATTTAATTAAGGTTTACAACATTTACAATTAACGTAAATTGTATTTGTTGCGAAAAAGGTAAGGACATAACTGTGTTTGTTACCGAAAATTTTCGGAGTCGAAGTGGCTCCCTGTCTGTTACCGAAAATTTCTGGAGTCATCTGAACAATTTTGGCGTAAAATATTCCAAATTTGGCGTATTTGCGAACCCTGACTGTGCTGATAATTTATTGCTGTCAGTTTTGTAGTGTAATAATTTGAGCTGTACATGGTTTTTCCTTCCTATTTGATTTTCATTAATAATTAATTAAAATTTTCAAGACTATTAGAACTCCTTGAAAGTGGTGATCAAGATTTCATGTTTGTCCCAATAAAAGCAAACTCCAACAAGCAAAAACTACAGTCAACTCTCTCATAGCGACCACTTCTTTTAAGTGACCACCTCCCGTAAGCGACCACTTTACAAATAACTGTTTTGTTTCTCAGTCAAACACTGTTTCAAAAACTCTCTTGTAAGCGACCACTACATAAATTTCTTAAACGACCGTGACCACTTTTTGGGCCAGAAATTTGACATATTCTTTTGTTTTCTGTTTCCGGTAAGCGACCACCAGGCATGATCACATATGATTGTAACAAAACCGTTGCTTGAATGTCACCAAAGTTCATTTTTGAATTGTTCTGACCAAGTAAGCTGACAGATTATAGCAGTTGACTTAAAAAAAAGATGTCTGTAATACGATCTGTACGTAAAAAAGTGGATTGTCGCATTCTTGCATAATGAAGTTTCATCAGTTCCAAGCGCTATTCGAGTTAAACATTATTAGTAGTTCTCTATGTAATTACATTAATCAGTTCAGTTTAAGATTATTTTCTTGAGTTTTCCCGAAGACAACCATCTCCCGTAAGCAACCACTTTGTCATGCAACAAGGGTGGTCGCTTACGAGAGAGTTGACTGTATCCAATAAAATTAAAGGTGTAGCCTAAATGTCAACCCATAAATTAAAGACAAATACAATGTCTGTTGTACCTAAAAGGCTTTTATCTTTGTCCATTTGTCTTTTTTACAGAGGTTATGGTGTCCTTGTTGGTTATTTTGTCAATCATCCATTGTATACTCCACCAAGTATGTAGGTTGACATTTAAATTAAGTGATTTGGGCATGGTTGAAATGTCGCATTTCATTTGTAGCCAACTTTATGCTCGTGAGAAAAAACCTAATTTTCTCACTCATTTTTGACATGCAATATTATTATGCTGTAGATTTGCAAACTGATAACAAAGGAAGGATGACCACATACTTGTTACTTGAATGCATGTCAAAACTGTCTTTTTTGTATAATTATGTCCTATTTTTTTGTCATGCTTGGCTTTTACATAAACATTTAGGTAAAAAGAAGAATGAGAAACTGGATTTGCATTAATTTTATGTGACCAGGTCATTACATTGATTGTTATTGGTCAGGAATAATATTATTGTTTTGACTCTTTTTAAAGCTACAAACCATGACTTTTTGTGATGGATTGTCAAACTGCATTTGCAATTATTTGAACATATTTTTTTTTACTTTTAACTCAAACGGTTTTCTTGTAATTTATTTAGTGTTTGGTGATGCTCAGGTATATACAGGCTTAGCTCTGTTCTTGGTAAGTTAAAATACTATTTTGAATGCATTTTCAAAAATTATGTGGATATAATAACTACTTTAAAACCGTTAGAAATTAACCTGTGTCTGAAAATAATCTGAATTGGATATTACTGGATAAGATTATCATGGAAAATGATTTATAATCCCTTTGTTTGACTGTTTCTTTTTTTCAGTTTAACGAGTATGGCAACTTTGTCATCCACTGTGCTTTGCGGGATTTGAGGCCTCCAGGTAAGTCACACTTGCTCTGCTGCTATGGCAACCAGTTTTTAACAAAGAGACAAGTTAAATTATGCAAATTATCCACACTAATTCACATTTTAAGCTTTTTATTGATTTATTGATTAGTTATTAATTTTATAAGGGACTTGCATTAAGCTTACAAAAAATAACAAAAAAATGTTTAATAACACTAACAAATGCAAGGTCAGGACAAGGTTGGCCCCATAGAAAGGAAAAAGTAATAAATCCTAATAAGATGGTAAAGAATTTTTACAAGATAATGTGAATCAAACAACTACAACTAACGACAGCTTCAGTGATTTACAGATCTACAATGGGGGCCCGTACGATTGATTTCTAGGGTGACACACAGTTATGAAGTTACATATATGCTTGATCACTAATAATGCTAAAGGAAGTTCAGTATCTTAAGAGACTACAGTACACTAAAAGTAAAAAAAGGTAGAGGCCAGAGGCCTGAACAGCCTGAGCCTATCCCAGTTTCCTTAGTATGAAGCATGCAAAGGAGTTTTGCTATTCCTCCCTGGACGGGATGCTATTCCAGCAGAATGTCGCCAATACCCATTAATACACCTGGATGAAGAGAGACAAAGTGGAGTAAAGATCCTCGTCAAGGGAAACAACACAAAGGGCGAGGCTTGAACCCCTGACCTCCAGATCCCGAGTTCGAAGTGTTAACCGCTCGGTCACACACTATAGTAACTGTTTATCAATTCCATCTGCAGGTACAAAAGAAAGGAAGATACCCTATCCTACATCCAATCCCCTGACACAGTTGTTTAGATTTGTATCCTGCCCTAACTACACCTATGAGGTAAGTTTGACTGAAAACATTTTTCTCCTTGATTGATTTTGCTTGAAGTCTCAGTGGCAGATCCGTGGCAAGGGCCCGGGGGGCCTGCCCCCCTTATATTTAGACCAAACTGAAGACCAAAGGGTTGAAAAAAGTTTGTTGAGACCACCCCCCCCCGCCTCTATCTCAGGGTCTGGATGACCGTTCCTCCCCCCCTCCCCTATTCAGTGGATAGTGCAATTGGTTTCCCTAATACTTATCCACTGATTTATCCAGTGGATAGCGCTATCCAATGTTTGAACAACCTAGGCCTGGATCCGCCACTACTGACTATTGGCTACACGCGTGTACACGCGTGTTTCTGAACAGAAAGTGGGGTCTCTCAGAAAGGAGAAAACATCGAAGACTAGACTGGCTTGCTTTATCCTTTATCCCCCCCCCCTGCCCCACCCATTTTCTGAGTCAACTAATTTTGTATAACAGATCCTTAACAGTAGCCTGCGTAGCAGGCGTCGAAAGGGGTAGGGGGTAGGGGGTAGGGAGGAAGGGAAAAAGGGGAGGGGGATTAGCCTGCGTAGCAGGCGTCGAAAGGGGTTTTGCGCCTGCCACGCAGGCTACTTAACAGCCGTTATTCTACCAAAACTGTCCTATACACGCACATAGTTATTCCTTCCATTTTCCTTTTAGAAGAAGCTTCAAGGGTTATTGCTACACCAAAGTTGTTTTCCCTCTTTACTTCTGCTAGATGAGAGATAAAAGTTAGGATGTAATGTTTTTCTTTTTTTTTTTCTTTAGACCGGTTCTTGGATAGCATTTTCTGTGATGACGCAGACATTAACAGGTATAACCTTGTACAGCATAAAAAGTAGTGAAAAAGTAGTGTTTATTTGAATGGGCACGCTTAATAATTTTATCCACAGACTCAAAAGTTAGAAGCACCTTGTACAGTATGAATAACAGTACCACAGGAAAGTACTGCTCATTAACTTTCAACTGAATGGTCAGGGACTTTAGGATTTAATCCACAGACTCAAAAGTTAGAAGCACCTTGTACAACGTAATAAACAGTTAGTACCACAGGAAAGTACTGTTCAGTAGCTTTCATTTGAAAGGGCACATTATAGTATTTTGTCCATAGAGTCAAAAGTTAGAAACACCTAGTTGGTTAGCATAATAAACAGTACTACTGGAAATTACCACTCTGGAGCTTTCATTTGAATGGTCGCACTTAAAAATTTATCCACCGACCCAAAAGGCCAACCTACAACACTTCTAAATTCAATTCTAGAACGGGCGATGGAGTTCTTGAGAGCTCTTTAGCGCTTCGTGGGGAAAATGAAGTTTACTTTTTCGTCATGATAATGAAACAATGAAAAAGTGGTAGAGCGATTTTCGTAAACAAACGAACGGAAATACAGCGATTTGATTGGTTTATCGAACGGATACAAACGCGCGTGGAAATTTTGGTTGGTTAAGCGAACACTCGGATGAAAAAACTTCATGCCCGAGAACTTTCTAGAAGTCAATCGATACTTCGCTTTGACGTCATACTCCAACACGATTGGCCATATGGAACAATGCCTTCTACATATTAGGATTTTCTTTGGCGGGAAAACGAAGAGTCCATGTTTTGATCTTTTCATCCATTGGCTGATAAAACAAATAACGGACACTTACCGAAACCATTTTTCAAGGTCATACGAAAATCGTTCTAAGCATATCTGTTTAACCTTGTACAACGTAATAAACAGCACTACAGGAAAGTACTGCTCAGTAACTTTCATTTGAATGGTCACACTATAGTATTTTGTCCATAGAGTCAAAAGTTAAGAACAATTAGTTGTTTAGCATAATAAACAGTACTACAGGAAATTACTACTCTGTAGCTTTCATTTGAATGGTCACACTTCAAAATTTTATCCATCGATCCAAAAGGCCAACCTACAACACTTCTAAATTCAAATGTAGAACGGACAGTGGAGTTCTTGAGAGCTCTTTAGCACTTCGTGGGAAAAATGAAGTTTACTTTTTCGTCATAATGACACAATTAAAAAGTGCTAGAGCGATTTTCGTATGACCTTGAAATGATTTTGAAAACGCGCGAACAAAACAGAAAAAACAAACGAACTTAAATACAGCGATTTGATTGGTTTATCGAACGGATACAAACGCGCGTGGGTTTTGGTTGGTTAAGCGAAGGTTCGGGTGAAAAAAGTTCATGCCCGAGAACTTTCTAGAAATCAATCGATACTTCCCTTTGACGTCATACTGCAACACGATTGGCCAATCGAACAATGCCTTCTCTATATTAGGATTTTCTTTGGCGGGAAAACGAAGAGTCCATGTTTTGATCTTTTCATCCATTGGCTTATAAAACAAATAACGAACACTTACGGTAACCATTATTTCAAGGTTATACGAAAATCGCTCTAAGCATATCTGTTTAACATGACGGTTTCTTTTTTTCTCTTTCAGCGGTTTTATTCACCTTGTTTGGATTCTACCAGATGGCAGTATGGGCCATAGGCAAACACCGAAACTATCGCAAAGAATTTAAAGATTATCCAAAAGGAAGGAAAGCTATTGTCCCTTTTCTGTTATAGATGAATTAAATTAAACTCGGCATTTTGGGTTATGGGAACGATCATCGTCAAAGAAGTGGACGATTTTCAAGTCAATTCAACGTCATCACGGGTTTTATGTTCCGGCAAGAGTGCTAGCTTACTTGCGGAGTTTAATTAGTGCAACAGCACGTGACACTTTTACAGTCCCTTAGTTTCATTTTTAGTTCCCGCGCAGTTAGTTGTGTTTCCAAACAACCGCACAATCTGGTTGATCTTAAGATAAAGTTCCATTCTTCTTTCTTCTGAAGTTCTTTACAATTCAGTTGGGTCATCCTACTTTGCCGATCTCATCCTTTTTAAAGCAGAATAAATAGCGTAGCGCGCGAATGACGTCAGAGTGACTAATTTGCAATTTTTGTCTGAGTTTTGTCATTTTTCTCATTTTAATGACAAAAGTCAGACAAAAGTTTCAGTTTGTTTGTCAGTTTCGGGTCTGTAATTAGTAACTGCGCGCAGCGCTATTGTCCTACCGATTTTTTGCGCCGGAAAGATGAATTTACAATTAGCCTGAAATCTAGCTGATGTGCGTGCTGTTCACATCAAATGGTTGTGTGGTAGAAAAGTTTGTTTTACAAACCAAAAACGGGAGCTCCTTGTTACTTGATTGACTGTTCTATGGCGTGATTTGCTAAATAAATAGAAAATAAACTGATTTCTTCATAGTTTACTTCATTTTATTTGTGGAAATTGGTAGTAGTTGAAATCAAGCTGATGCTCTCCGTGTGACAATTCGAGTCCCGAGCATACCTTTACTTTGATATTTTAAAAAGCTTCCTGACTTTGCTTTGCTTTTCAGATTTGTTTTTCCAGCACAAAGCTTTTTTGAAGGCTATTCTATATTTGGGTGACCTTGCGGTTTTGAGCCTCTTTTTGATGGCTTGACAGTGGCAACCGGCAATCCAGCTGACATTTTTTAGGTTTCTTTGTCGCGGATCGCACAGGGTCCTACCCCGCGAACAGAGGCCCTTCGTATCGATCTTTCGAAGGTCTCCATCTCGAAGGGTAGCAATTAGTTTGTTAGCTTGTCTGGCAGTTGATTATCGTGTGACCTGTTGTCTTTGTTGCGTGAGTTGCTCGTTACTTAGTCTCTTGGTGTTTTTTTCCGCGCTCCCAAAGCGTTTCGGGTCACGTGGCCCGTTCGCCTTGGATACACCTGGCCCTGAAGCGTGAAATTTCTTTTGTGAGCTCATAATAACCTTTCTTACTCCGCCCAAAAGGAAGTCTATCTCTTCGAGAAGCTTCTACAAGCAGTTTCGCTTTCAACTTCCTACTTGTCCTTGAGACATTCTCCTTCCCTGAGTCTTCCTTTGCTAAGGATTTTGTGAGACTGCTTGAGTCCAGAGTAAGTACCAGTTGAACTCCTTGAACAGTCAGCGTTAATTAGTGATTTATTAATAACGGTGTCACTCCAAAACTTTTCTTTTAATTTGAAAATTTGAAGATTGCTTTGCCCTGTGGCTGCGAGTACGAAGATCAACACAACAACAGGAACTGGCCTCTAGAAGGACAAAGGTAAGCAAATCCTTGGTTTTTTCCCGCTTTTTCGTTTCCTTACACCAGCAGCCTTTTCCCGTATATCCGTCTTCGTGCAAGCGATGAAAGGCGTCAAGTTAAACACTGGTTAAAGTGGTTTGGGCATGTGCCAAGATCAGTAGGGCTTGCCAAGACAATTTTACAAAGAACGGTGCAGGGAGGGAGAAGAAGAGGCAGACAAAAAAGGCGTTGGGAGAATAATATCCCTGAGTGGACAGGGTTTAAGTTTTGCGACGCCCTAGGAGAATCTGAAAGTTAAATCAAATAGAAGGGAAAGGGTTGTTTGGTCCGCGGCGCCCCAATGGTCACCATGACTACATTGTTAAACCTGTTGGTTCAAGGTGCAAGCGATGGCAGGCGATGCAATTTAATCCTTTAAGGTGGCTCCGTAATTAATACTAGAGCATTTTGCTGTGACAAATTTTCCGTCATAACTTTTTGGTTTTTAACGCGATGGCTGCGAAACTTTGCAAACAGAAACAGATATCATTCGGCAATAATACGAAATATTCCGATTTCATTGATGGTAAATATTTCTTGAGAAATTAGCGCTTAAAAGGACCCTACTGTTCAAAGAAAATCGCGTCTAGTAAAAAATTTTGCTGATATTTTTTACTGAAATTTCTGGTATCGGCTTTCATTGATATAATAAATATGCCAGAGGAATTTCAGAAAAATCGTTGGAGCAGAAGTCCGTAACTAAAAGTGGCTCAAAATTCAGCTGTGAAATTGTTTTGGAATTTCAAAAATAAATTACTATCAGGGAGAAGGAGCCACCAGTTTCAATTTTCGGGACAAGTAAATTCAACGTTTACTAATTCTTAAAACAAAAGCCGATTGCCTATCGTGCTATTCTTTAAAAGGTACTTTTTAGTTTTAGAAGCACTATAAATTGCTCTAAACCTTGCTCTGAAGTAGAATGACTTGTTCTTCGACAGTTTTAAAATATCCCCTGGCAGTTTTGGCTCAAACTCCTGCTGCATACATTTTGATGTATTGCAATGCAATTTCAACGACTTTTACTGCTGTTCGTTGCTTCCAACTCAGGAAAAAAGTATTGAGATTGGACGCTACCTCGTATCAGAGCTCAGATAGATCTCTCCAGCACCTTTGTTTATGACTACAAAATGAGCACGAGCGGCAGTTCTGCGAGGAATTCGAACCTCACCCAGGGGGACGAACGACAATGATGACCATGCCTGTGAACCGAATAACATCACCGTGCAAAATAAAATTATCGCAAAAATGCTGCCCGTGAATAAATTTACAACTCCGAAATTTTTGTCACTCCTTCCTTCAGTGAATGGGTATTTTTTTTCTTGATTATTGTGTTTTGCTCTGGAATACATGTTTATACAGATCGGTTCACAGACATGGGCATCATTGTCATTCGTCCCCCCAGGCTGAGGTGCGAATTCCTCGCAGAGCTGCCGCTCGTGCTTATTTTCTGGTCATAAACAAAAGTGCTGGACAGTTCTATCTGAGCTTCGATACAAGGTAGCTTACAATCCCAATACCTTTTTCCTGAATTGGAAACAACGTACAGCAGGAAAAGCCGTTGAGGATGCATTGCAATACATCAAAATGTATGTAGCACGAGTTTGAACCAAAACTGCTAAGGGATATTTTAAAAATGTCGAGGACAAGTCATTCGACGTCAAAGCAAAGTTTGGAGCAATTTATAGCGCTTCTAAAACTGAAAAGTGCCTTTTAAAGAATAGCACGATAGGCAATCGGCTTCTGTTTTCAGAATTAGCAATCACTGAATTTACTTGTCCTGAAAATTCAAACTGGTGTCTCCTTCTTCCTGATAGTAGTTTATTTTTGAAATTCCAAAACAATTTCACAGCTGAATTTTGAGCCACTTTTAGTTACGGACTTCTGCTCTTACTAGACGCGATTTTCTTTGAACAGTAGGGTCCTTTTAAGCGCTAATTTCTCAAGAAATATTTACCATCAATGAAATCGGAATATTTCGTTTTATTGCGGAATGATATCTGTTGTTTTTTGTAAAGTTTCGCAGCCATCGCGTTAAAATCGAAAAAGTTACGACGGAAAATTTGTCACAGCAAAATGCTCTTGTATTAATTACGGAGCCACCTTAAGCTCTAAGAGTGATCAGCATCAAATTTCTCCTTGTAAAATCAATGTTTTGTAAAACAGAGTGGTCATGAGAATTACGGACATGATCACACAAGATGAATTTGCTTGATACTTTATCAACTTCTCCCAACTACATCTGTAGGAAATGAATAGGGGTAACAAGTGAGAATTCAAATTTTGATCTTAAGGTGTAAAGGGTTAAAAATTGCATCAGTCCAACAGTGAGCCGCACGTCGAATCGCCATATCGGAGAAGAGAGGAGGATAAGTTACGGCTCTTCAGAAGTTTAAACGGAAGAGAGAAGAATTTACATTTGTCAAGAAAAAAATTATCAGCTGGTTGAATTTCCTGTACCTTAGTAGCACGTGCCCTTCTTTTACCGTACTCTGCATGAAATAAACTCAAGGTTGATTCTTCGACTTGAAGAATTTAATGTCTTTTGAGTAAGCATATTTGTTGTGAGCACAATCTTTGGAGAAAAAAGATATGATTAAAACTACAACTTTTTCCTGGAAGTCTGTGATAAAAGGTAGTTGCACGGCGGAAGCATTAGAGTTGTTTTGGAAAAGGAAAAGTCGCATGGAAAAGTATTTTAAATTGTTCACAAGAAATATTTGCGTTACTCGGCGTTGAGTGAATATTTCCCACTCCACCCTAAGAAGAGTCTTGTAATTGCTGAGCTCGTCCCAAACCTTCCCAGCGCCGTTTAATTTTCACCTTGGCTTGATTGAAAGATGTGTTGTCGGGTTAGTTTCCCACGCAGACGTTAATAGGGGTTTATCACTCGTTCTTAGTGGGGCATGAACGCGTGACGAACCCCCAAGAACGTGTGCGTGGGAGGCTATTGTTGGGTTTGTTTGGCTCCAGATGATTGTATAATTCAAGGTGTTGACTCGTCACTTTTCACTTGTTTTAAACAATTCAAGCTTGCAATGACTGTGAACGTTTTGGAATTGAGGGAAAGAAATCGACAATAGACACTACCAGAGACTTCGATTCTTGAACTCAGGTAAGCGTATCTTTTGTTTTTATACTTTTCTCTCATCTTTAATGTAGCAGCAGTCACCCATAACTCGCTAGTGTCAAGCGTCAGGCATATGTTTGTAGATCAATGATCATGTTTGACATTAACGGAACTACAGGGTGTTTCAAAAGTTTGTTCCGATTGTAAATTGTATTTTGCGCAAAGCATTTAATGCTCCCTTAGGCAAATGTAAACTGATTCAGGTAGGAAATTTATCTAAATAACCGTTCAAAGCAATTTCAAACTAAAATTTGAAGAAATGATGATATTTTTTAAATTTTTTCCCCAAATGTGCACGTACGCGAATTTTTTCCCGCCA